ACTGACATAAAGAAATGAAGAAGCTTGTTGGATCATCTTTAGGGATTTGAGCCTGTAACTTAGAATCTCAAGGGGAAACTACGGGGTGGGATGGCTTCGCTAGCACATCCTTCCAAACTCATTGTGGGGGAAATGTCACCAATGTTATAAACTTCTGGGAGAGAACAGCAGAGGAGGGAGATCCCCCATCTTAAGGCAGCGCAGCCCAGTGACAAGCGCTGGTAAGGAAGGGAGACTTGCAGGCTGCCCTCAGTGAGGAGACTCCAGAGGGAAGACAGAAGCTGCGGTGCCCTGAGCGTGCGGATGACAGGCAGAGTCGAGCTCAGGAGACACGTTGGCCGAGAGGCCGGGAGAACACTCGGGACTTGTCGTGTCCAGGAATGCGGGATTGTTCAACTTTCCCTATCACAGGAAGAAACGCTCCCTAATATTCTTCAGGTAAAATTCAGCATCCACTTAAGACTTTTTAAAAAACAGAAAAACTCCAAACCGGGGCTGTGGCATTGGGGGTTAGACCACCACCTGCAATGCTGGCATCCCATGTGGGCGCCGGTTCTCGGCTGCTCCACTTCCTATCCAGCTCCCTGCTAACAGCCTGGGAAGGCAATGGAGGATGACCCAAGTGCTTGGGCCCCTGCACCCATGTGGGAGACCTGGAGGAAGCTCCTTGCTCCTGGCTTCCCCCTGGCCCAGCCCCAGCTGTTGGGGCCACTTGGGGAATGGACCAGTGGATAATGGAAGATTTTTCTCTTAACTCTGCCTTTCAGGTAAATAAAATCTTAAAAACTGATAGATAACTAATCTGGCCAGAAAAAAAAAAAATAACCCCACAGCAAACATACTCATTCAAGTCATAAGCTACTTGTTCCTTGAGGGAAGCAAACCCCGTGCCTACTTCTCACCGGCTGGACAGGAGACCTTGGCTAGTGCTACGAGAAGGACCAGCGCTGGCGGTGAGGTGCCCAGGCCACAAGACCAACGGCGAGCAAACAGCAGTCTCATATTTCAGACGCCATATGAATTTTAGATGTGCCATTTTCAGTATCAAAAAATGCAAAACCTTGAGGGTAAGTGTGGTTAAAGATGTAGGGAAGGCAGTGATTGAGAGGAGAAAAGAACTGAATGAGTTCTACTGAGAAGTAGAGGCACTCAGTATTTTGTCCCCAAGTTTATCTGTACATGTAGTACAGGTGCCGTCACAAACCCCGAGACCATGGATTTATATGTAATTTGACTTGAAATTTTTGTGGAAATGCAGTCAAAAATAACCAACAGAGGAAAATGAAGGCATTGGGAAGATTTTTCTCTATCGGATACTAGGCTTGGAAGCTACAGTAATACAGCTACGAGGTGGGGGTGGGCATTGGGCGCAGTGCTTCCACGGCTCGGAACACCCGCGTGCCATGTCAGAGTGCTTGGGTTCGAGTCCCAGCGCCACATCTGATCAGCTTCCTGCTGATGGCAGCAGATGGTGGCCCAAGTACTTGGGTCCCTGCCACCCACATGGGAGACCCAGATGGAGTTCCAGGCTCCTGGCTTCCGCCTGGCCCAGCGCTGGCTGGTGTAGGTGTTTGAGGAGTGAACCAGCAGATGAAAGATTGTTCCTGTGTGTGTGTGTGTACCTGTGTGGCTTTTCCTTTTCAATTTTTTTTTTTTTTTTTTTTTGAGAAAATGCTCCGTGGTACTGTCAGTGCAGCAGAATGGAGAGCTCGGAAGCCAGCCCGTGTGGGGATGTTCCAGAGGTGTTACCTGGGAGAAGGGGAGGAAAGACTGTGTGTGATAAGCAGTCCTGGGAGAGCGGGCTAGTCACAGGGGAAAACTGGTCTTGCTCTCGACCTCGCAGCATGTGTGAAGGGCAGTGGTGGTCAGTAGATTGTGGATTTCACTACAAAAGGTTAAATGGCAAAGTCAGAAAGCCCCTCGAGGGGCTGTGTTGTAGCACCGCAGGTCAGGTTGTCACTTGTGATGCGCAGCCGGCATGGGTGCCACTTCGAGTCCTGGCTGCTCCACTTCTGATCCAGGTCCCTGCTGATGGGCCTGGGAAAGCAGGAGATGGTCCAAGTGCTTGGGTCCCTGCTACCCATGCAGAAGACCCAGATGGAGTTCCCCGCTCCTGGCTTCGACCTGGCCCAGTTCCGGCCATTGTGGCCGTTTGAGGAGCAAAGCAGTGGAAGGAAGATCTCTCCCTCTTTGGTTCTCCCTCTCTCTGTGACTCTGCTTTTCAAATAAATCTTTTTTAAAAGCCGCTAGAAGATAACATGAAACTCTGAAAAGCAGTAAGGGTGGTTTAAAACGTGTCACCAAGAACAGGCCACGGGAGAGACAGAGTGCACTGTGCTGTAAACACTTGATTCTCGAGAAGTGGGAAGGCAACCAGCATACAGACTCCTACAGATCAGTGAGGAAAAGGCAGGCGGATTGAAAAGTGAGCAAGAAATGTGAACAGGCGCTTAGCGAAAGAGGTCACCCTACCGGCCAGTGGGCATGTGAGACGCTAGCCTGCCGCACTCATGACCGATGACAGCCACAGGGAATGGCTCCCTTCCTCAGCAGCACGTCGTGGACGTGTGGGCCACAGGAGGTGTGGGCCATAAGTTACAGAGCTCAAGACCCAGCTGGGCCACTCTGGGACGCACAGCTCGTGGAATGCGTTCTGTGTGTGCCGGGATCTGCGTGCTCGGAACCAGGAAACTAGAAACAGCAGGAAGCTTCACCCTCAGCAGGAGCTGCGAGTTACAAGCTACGGAGTTAGCGGAAGTTCACGAGGCAGACAAAAGGAGAAGCTGTGCCTGCCCAGAGATGGAGCTCAGGCCCGAGTACCACACCGGGAGACCCTTTCTGTGGGCTCAGAGACACCGGGGGTGGGGGTGCTCCTGCACGGGGTGCAGCCAGAAGAGCACCCAGCACAGGAGTCCGCCTGCCCCGTGCAGGAGCAGAGGCTGTGTCCAGGGGCCTTGTGGCTGGTGCTTGTCTGCAGCTGGCTGTGAGCTCCTGTGTGTGGCCCTGTGTGTGTTTCTGTGTGCTCGTGGCTGCTCTGTGTGCTTCTGCGTGTGCTCATGGCTGCTCTGTGTGCTTCTGCGTGTGCTCATGGCTGCTCTGTGTTTCTGCGTGTGCTCATGGCTGCTCTGTGTTTCTGTGGGCTCGTGGCTGCTCTGTGTGCTTCTGCGTGTGCTCATGGCTGCTCTGTGTGCTTCTGCGTGTGCTCATGGCTGCTCTGTGTTTCTGCGTGTGCTCATGGCTGCTCTGTGTTTCTGTGTGCTCATGGCTGCTCTGTGTTTCTGCGTGTGCTCGTGGGCCATCCTGTGTGTTCCAGGGGTGCTGTCTGAGGCTTCCTCTCGTCTTTCCTTAGCTCTGCTCTGATTGGATAAGTGGATAAGGGAAGTGTTGCTTTTTCTAGTCCTCGCTGTTCAGTTGGAATAAAACAGGCTCTATTTCCTTTTCCAGGTTTTGCCTTACAGGTCATTTAGGGGTGGGCCGTGGGTACAGTGCTTGAGACCTCACTGGGGACACCTGCCCCATCAGAGGGGCTGGACTTGGATCCCAGCTGCCTGCACCCCAGCTTCCTGCTGTGTGCCCTGGCAGTAACGGACGGTGGTTTAAGCAGCCGGATCCTCGCCGTGCCCTGGAGAAACCCTGATTGTGTTCTTAGCCGTGGCGGTTGCCGGCATTTGAGGAGTGAACGAGCAGATGAAAGGTCTCTCTGTCTTTGAGTTTCTTAGCTGCCTTCCAAATAAAATTAAAACAAAAATTGTTAAAAATTGATTTTAAATGGCTCTTTTATATTTCTAAAGATTATTTGACTTTTTTGGAAGAAATTTTAATTTTAAAACTTGAGATTTTTTAAACTCAGATCTTTTAAAAAAAAGATTTATTTATTTAAGGGCAGAATGACAGGAGGAGCAGAGAGAGAGCTCTTCCAACTACTTGTTCACTCCCTAAGTGGCCACAGTAGCCAGGGCGGGGCCAAGCTGAACCCAGGTACCTGGACCCCATCTGGGTCTCCTCTGTGGGGGGCAGGGCCCAAGGACGTGGGCTGCCGTCCTCTGCTTCCCAGGGGCGTTGTCGCAGCTGGATCTGAAGCAGAGCAGCTGGTCTTGAGCCGGCACTCCTGTATGGAGCGGCAGGTTAACCAATGTGCCACAGATGCCAGCTCCTGTACATGGCTACCTTAACCAGCTGCAATGAAGAGTCCTGAAACACAGCATCTTCATGATACAGGTTTACTTTTGCCTTGCTCGATAGCACAGAGAGGCAGTAGTGCTGTCCCACAGCCTGTCTACCCCGTCATTGTGCCGTCTTCAGTGCCTTGGCCTGGGCACGGTTGAAGCTGCAGCTAACCCTTGCCCTTATTCAGGTTTACAAGAAGTGGTTCTGTTTGGACAGCAGCTTTGCTGAGACATAACGCACAGGTTGTGTCTTCTCCCCTTTGAAGTCCACAGCCCGGGGCCAGTGGCATGATGCGGCCCCCATGATGCCTGCCTTCCAGGTCAGGGCACCTGTTTGCACCCTGTCCAGCTCTCTGCTGAATGCGCGGCAGAAGATGACCGGAGGCCCGGGCTCCTCGCCACCCGTGAGGGAGACCTGGATGGAGTTCTGGGCTCCTGGCTTCAGCCTGGCCAGCCTTTGGGGCTGTTGAAGGATTGAGCCAGCAGATGGAAGATGTGTCTGTCTCTGTCGCTGGCTCTCTTTCTCCCTTTCTCTCCCCTCTGTCTTTCAAATCAATAAATCTTAAAAGTTATGAAGTTCACCCTCCATGGCTTCAGCGTATGCACAGAGCTGTCCAGCCATCACACCTGCAGCCCAGAGCCTCTCAGCTCCCTCTGGGCAGGAGGGTGGGCCCTGTGACTCCCCTGGGCCCCGCACTCAAAACAGTGTCCATGTGTTGCATTGCAGGGGACACTGGGCAATGGGCGCCCTATAGCCACAGCCCTACGGCACAGAGCAGGGAGGACCGGCTGGGGAGAAGTGTCTGCCCTGAGCCACAGCTGTCTCTCTTGCAGGTGTGACAGCACCGAGAAGCTGAAAGCACTTCTGCCGAGGCTGGAGCAGGAACTCAAGGACTCCACGAAGTTTAAGGATTTTTATCAGTTCACTTTTTCCTTTGCTAAGAACCCTGGGCAGAAAGGGTTAGGTGAGTATGACGCGCAGCCCTGTGAGAGGCCAGGTCTTAGCGGGACTGTAAGTGGAGATGCTCACAATGATTTTGGCATAGCAAATGGTGATGGTAAGTTTTCAGTGCCGGCTGATTGTGTGCGTTCTGTGTCCCCTACACCTCGCTGACCGGTTGGGATGGCCGGCAGTAGGCAGTGATGGTCGGAGCGTGGTGCCAGCTGGGCAGGTGACCTGCAGGTGGCTCGGCGGGTCGTGCCGTGCGCTGAGTGACCGCTGTGACTTGTGCTTTACTATGTGCTGTTCACGGGAAACTTAATTTCCCAGTTTGAGATCCTGCTCATCTGAGATTTTGATCCTGCTCTGCTCTCTTCCTTCATTTCTGGCTCGCCGCTGTCTGAAAGCCGGGCTGAGTTGATCATACTTGTTGTCTTGCACCGTTCAGGGACGCCTCCTGCCGCTTTGGAGGGGCGGTCATGAGGCCTCTGAAGTAAGAATCAGACTGCAGCAGAAGGTGCTCAGAGAGAGACTCCCGTCGATAAACAGTGTTCCAGATGAGAAGCATCGCAGGGGGAGCCGGAGAGGGGCTGGAACCCCCAGGTGGAAACTGCCAGGAGCACCAGGGTTTCCGTCCTGATGCCTCCCCGCTGCGTGCAGGGGCTGCCCACAGTGGTCGCTCCCTCCTTAAGAAGGCGGGGCTGTTATAGCCAGCGCCAGGTGCACCCGCAGGAGTGAGAGCAGCTGTGAGCCCCTTCGCTGCTCTCCCTGTCTCCAGGAGACCCTGGCCTGCCCAGGGGAGTCACAGCTGCGGGACAGCCCAGCCTCCAGGCTGACACTCAGCCCCGGGGACGGAGAGCAGGCAGGAGCTGCACCGCCGATGTCGCAGCCCACAGTGAGTCCCTTGTGCAGCCTCCGCCAAGATGTATTTCTAGAACGCACAAGCCTGGGCCGCCTCACACTCGAGCCCCGTCGCTCCTCCTGCTCGGTCTGAGTGGGTCTGCCTCCTCCAGGCACCAGCCCAGCTCATTTCTCACAGTGTGGCCTCCCCAGGGTCGTTGCTCCATTCGTCCACCCAGCATCCTCCTTTGTCTGCTGTAAACACAGGGCCACAGACGTCCATTCAGATCCCTGCTTTGAAGTCGGTGGGGCTGCTGGGCGGGCACTGCCCTCCTGGCCTGCACCCTCTGCCGCGTCTCCCATCCCCACACCCGGACAGTGCCTGATCCGGCTGTTTCTGAAGTGGCGTCCTCATGGCTGTACTCAAGGCTGCTCTTTGAGCAGCTGGTTTCTTTCCATGGGGACTAACACACTCCTTTTTTTCTGTTCTCTATCCCACACTGTTCTGTGGCAGAATTCAAGCCGTGACCCCAGTGACAGTGCCATCATCAGTGTTTTCTAGAGCTCATTGCCAAGCTTGTCGAGAAATGGACAAGCAAGAAGCAGAGGCTCCTGCTGTACCCCTGGGCCATCTGGGCAGGATGGCACCTGTTCCTGTGTGCCCCTGGGCCATCTGGGCAGGATGGCACCTGTTCCTGTGTGCCCCTGGGCTGTCTGGGCAGGATGGCGCCTGCTCCTGTGTGCCCTGGGCCACCTGGGCAGGATGGCGCCTGCTCCTGTGTGCCCTGGGCTGTCTGGTCAGGATGGCGGCCTGCTCCTGTGTGCCCTGGGCCGTGTGGACAGGATGGCGCCTGCTCCTGTGTGTCCTGGGCCGTCTGGGCAGGATGGCACCTGTTCCTGTGTGCCCCTGGGCTGTCTGGGCAGGATGGCGCCTGCTCCTGTGTGCCCCTTTTCCATCCGGGCAGGATGGCACCTGTTCCTGTGTGCCCTGGGCTGTCTGGTCAGGATGGTAGCCTGCTCCTGTGTGCCCTGGGCCATCTGGGCAGGATGGCACCTGCTCCTGTGTGCCCTGGGCCGTCTGGGCAGGATGGCGGCCTGCTCCTGTGTGCCCTGGGCCGTCTGGGCAGGATGGCGCCTGCTTCTGTGTGCCCTGGGCCATCTGGGCAGGATGGCACCTGCTCCTGTGTGCCCTGGGCCATCTGGGCAGGATGGCACCTGCTCCTGTGTGCCCTGGGCCGTCTGGGCAGGATGGCGGCCTGCTCCTGTGTGCCCTGGGCCGTCTGAGCAGGATGGCGCCTGCTTCTGTGTGCCCTGGGCCGTCTGGGTAGGATGGCGCCTGCTCCTGTGTGCCCTGGGCCATCTGGGCAGGATGGCGCCTGCTCCTGCCAGGTGGCCATTTCTCCTTACACTCCAGGGCTTCTACCTCTGTGTCTCCTGGGTCCCCTGTCTTCACAGGGACACTCACTCCAACAGGAGGGGCACCCCCCTACTTTACTGAACTAGGGCCTCTTCTGGTCTGTGGCCCACCCTGGTTTTCGAGGGGCTTCAGAGGCCCGTTGCTGCTGGGTTGTCCCGGGAGGCGTTCCTGGCTTTGTGACGTTAGCCTGATCTGAGCTTGCGCCGTGGTGCCTGCTGGTTCTCGGGAGAAAACACCTGCGCACAGCACGTGGCGCGCTCCTCGCTGCTCCGTGCCTCTTCAGCGTTTTCAGAGTAGCCTCCTCCTCCTCATTTGTGCTGCTTGCTGTGTGCGGGCTCGGCACCCTTCCTCTTAGACTTGGAAGGGAAAGTGCCTACATGGTTGCATTTCCTGCAACTTCCAGGGGCGTGGTGTTTGAGATGCAGCAAGGGACGCTGGGAGCTGGGCTGCAGGCAGTGCCCACAGCACCGCTGGTTGGGTCGGCACCTGCCGCACAAGCAGCCGCCTCGGAAGCAAGGCGCCGCACACGAGGGCTTGTTCCATAGCTCACGCTCCCGCGGGCCGGGCGGACGTGCCAGGGAACCCTCCCCTCCTCCCCTGGGCTGTCCCTCCCAGGACAGCGCCACAGTGATTCCCAGCAGTTGGAAGTCAGGCTCTGCAGTGCCCGATTTGAGGTGACAGCGCTTGCTTTCCTCATGTATTCCAGCAGCATGCAGCCTAAGGATACGCCGTGTTTGAACCCTCGTCTGCGATGCCAGACCTGATGCATTTTAGCACGAGGCAGCAGAACAGGCCAGCAAAGCCAAACCGGTGTAGAGTGTGGCCCCCATTCCTCACTGACAGCAGAAGATCATCTTCTACTCCTGGAGACACTTAAATGTTCACCAGGCGCCCACCAGGGACTTACAAGACACTGATTTTGTTTCTTTGCTTCATGGGAGTAATTGAAGAAAAATGAAATTACATTCAAACCATAGTCTGTTCAGAATTCTGGGATCGTGTGGCTGTTTCCTATAGATTACACACTGTTTTAGAAAATTTAAGAGCGCTTTAAAAAAATAATAAAGCAAGAAGAATATTTTTGTGATCATAAACCAAAACCAGGGTGGCCTGTTTAAACCATTTCAAATCTGACTATCGCGAGGTCTCTGTCCCCGGGAGCTGGAACGCGTGGGCTCGGGGGGCAGGGGAGGCGTGCCCAGCGCCTCCTCCACTGCCGAGCCCCCGTCTGTGCACTGAGGCTGCGTGTGCTCACATGTCTTGTCCATGGGCATCCCAGTACAAGGGCTCATGAAGGTGTTTCAACTCTGTCTTCCCGTAAGGAACTTGAGTGGCTTCCTCCTGGCTCGAGTTTGGAGCTGGCTCTGGGAATGCTGGTTCCTGACGTGGCTACGTCCTGTGTGCCCTGAGGCCCCTCCCGGGCAGAGAACCATCATCTCACCGTCTTCGTCCGGCCCTAAGCGCTCAGGGGAGAGGGCCCAGGTCCTTGGGGAGAAAGTGGCCGCTCTGGAACTCTGGCCCTCGTGCTGGCCACCTGCGGTCTCTGCTCTCAGTTTGACTCTTGTTACTGTGGTGGTTTTGCACACGGCTCCGTGTGGGACTGTGTTAAACGCTGTGCACAGACGGTAGCCGTGGGAAACTCGCACCATGCACAAATGGTAGCCGTGGGAGACTCGCACACTTTCTGTGAGTCGTGCGATTGTCAATCATGCAGGTCAGGTACTTTGTAAGAAAGGTTTCTAGGACCAAACTGGCCCGGAAGCAAGCAGGTTAAATGTTTGCCGTGAACTTTATTTCTCTTTCCTCCCCAGGTTCACCTCCATCTCTCTGTGAGAGCTTTACACCATTAAGATGAGCTGAATATAGATTGCAATTAATGTTGCTCCTAAGGGATAAGGATGTAGCCTTATAAGCAGGACAAGAGTAACCTCCTTAGCATTGCACTGCGGGCCCAATAGGTAAGGCCTAGAGAGCTGCCCACGCGCCCGTTCCGGGACGTCTGACTCCTCTCGCTTTCTGATCAAGACCCAGGGTGTCTGCCGCTCAGGAGGCCTCTGCGGGCCCTTCAGACACAGAAACAGAGCTCTTCCTTCAGCTGGCTGCTGCCTAGACCCCCTCCGTGTCCCCTCTAACAGGGATCGGCCCTGGCACGCTCCGAGCTCCGGCTTCGTCGCCGTTTAACACACGTGGGACTACAGCAGGTTCAGCGGGAGATCTTTTGAAGTGCTTAATTGGGTATTTTGCCCTAAACGAATGTAGTCCCTTGACATATTTATTTTTTTATTTTATTTTATGTTTTATTTATTTATTTGACAGGTAGAGTTACAGACAGTGAGAGGGAGAGACAGAGAGAAAGGTCTTCCTTCCATTGGTTCACCCCCCCAAAATGGCCGCCACGGTCGGCACTGCACTGATCTGAAGCCAGGAACCAGGTGCTTCTCCTGGTCTCCCATGGGGTGCAGGGCCCAAGGACCTGGGCCATCCTCCACTGCACTCCCGGGCCATAGCAGAGAGCTGGACTGGGAGAGGGGCAACCGGGACTAGAACCCGGCGCCCATATGGGATGCCAGAGCCACAGGCAGAGGATTAGCCAAGTGAGCCACGGTGCCGGCCCCCTTTGACATCTTTATTAATCTGCTTTTCACATGAGTTTATCTGGTGTGATCAGGAAATTATTTCAGTGTAACTGCCCTGTTGCCCACAAGCGGTACCCACTGTTCAACACACTAGAGGTGATTGGTTTTAAGAAATAAACCTCCTACCCTGTGTATGCACTTGGTCTGTCAAGCACACAACAGCAAACAGGAACCTTGCAATGAGAGGAGAACAAGTCCGTGTTCCAAAGCCTATGGATGGGGGTCCTGCGACCACGCACCCCGTCAGCCAGCTGCTGGAGACGGGGCCGACTGCCCTGCGGGCAGCACACAGCATGCTGGCCGGACTGGCGGCAGTCGCGACCTGGAAGGCTCCTGACCTCAGTGGCAGTGGGCGCTCTTCCCTGCGCTGCTCACGCGTCTGGCCCGGTCTGGGAGTCGGCAGTTCTCAGAGCTGTTCTTGCTGGTGCAGGGACAGGGCAGGCCCGTGGGAGGGCGGCGTGTCGCTCCTGGACAAGACGCGCGCTGCAGCTTCCTGTGGAGAAAGGGCAGCGGCCTGTGTTAGAAATGCACGCGTTACCAGGGATCAGGTCAGGACCAAAGGACGCGCGCCCGTCTCCCGCGCTGACCGCTGAGGGACAGTCACCTCCCAGTCCAGACGGTGCAGCGCACAAGTCCTCTCCCCCGCGTCTGCAGAGCCCAGGGACACGCAGCCGTCGGCCCTCCTGTGACGCCTGGTGTTAGCCTGCGGGGAAGCTCATTTTCTTGGGCAATAGAGAAAAAGCGACTGGGTTTACTAACTGCTCTTTCTCTTTTTTTGCCAGATTTAGAAATGGCTGTTGCCTATTGGAAACTGGTATTATCTGGGAGGTTTAAGTTTTTAGATCTCTGGAACACGTTCTTACTGGTAAGTAGCGCCCCGTTTCTTGCTGTGTGTGCCCAGCCGGAAGGCGGGGTTGTCGGGTGTGCGGCTGTGTGCAGTCCTGTGGCTGGAGCTGACGCGGGGCAGTTCTGGGTGAGGGGATGTCCCACACAGAGTCCCTCAGGTCCCAGGTGAGCCGGTGCACGGCCTTGGCACCGCATGGAAGGCACGGCGGTGAGCCCAGGTGGGGACTGCCCTGAGGGGGTCCCAGAGAACAGCTCACGGCACCCCACAAGCACCCTCTCCTCAGGTTCTGCAAGATCTGCCAGCCCCAGCAGCCCTCTGCCTGTCGCCGTCTGAACCCCTTGAACTAAATCAATGCCTCCCAGCAGGAAGCTTCTGGTCCTTAAGGAAAAAGCTTGGTGCAGCCACAGGGCCGTGCCTGGTCTCCAGCTGCCCCACGGCTCCCAGGCCAATGGCGCTGGGACGTGTGTGTACAGTGGGTTTGTTGGCTAGGAGACCGTGGGGTGGGACCTGCAGCCATATCGGGCCCTGTCTGGTGAGGTGGACAGCCCTGAGGGTGGCAGACCCACACGGCCTGTCCTCCCCATGGAAATCAAAGGCAGTGGTCTTCACAGCACAGCCCACGGCCTGGCCGAGCACCGGCGCCTCCACCCTTGGTTTATGGTGCCAGGTGGTGTGTGTACTTTGCCCTGCCACAGAAAGAGCCGTGTGTGCCTGAGTCTCCTCACGGAGGCACAGTACTCGCAGAGTGGGCGCGGGGGCGGCGGGAGCTGACTGTGAGAGGTGTGTTGAGAAACCCGCCCCATCCCGTCTGGCTACGTCTGTCCAGAGGGTGGAGGAAACCTTGCCCATGACGCCTTCCTCCACCTGGGGTCAAACCCGAATTGTAGACATTCCCAGTGCACAGGGTCAGGATGAACGTGCCCCTGGCCTTGTGACCACAGGACCCTGGAGCAGCCCAGTGTCCTCGGGTAGGGGACGAGTTAAACCTCAGCCCTGGTTACAGAGCCGCAGAGTGCATGAGCTCGGGTGGGCGGCGTCGGCCACAGGCTCGATCGCCGACGTATGCTGAGTGGAAAAGACGGTGGCAGAAAACCAGGTATAACTTGGTAGGAGTTAGTGTTTTAAAGTGGTAAACAGCTTATAAGCTCTTGATGAGTTTACATATGGACGTGATTAACACGCCAGGACAGGCACGAGAGAGATGAGTGCTGACTGTGGGAGACCAGGCCCTCCCTTGAGTCGGGGGCAGGGAGGACACAGCTCTTACATTACCTGTAGTGTTGAGTCACAGGTTACTTATTTATCTATTCACTTACTTATTGATTTGAAAGATCAAGAGAGAGCTCTTCATCCTCTGGTTCACTCCCCAAATGCCCACACGTCCAGGGCTGAGCCAGGCCAAAGCCAGGAGCTGGGAACACACTTAGTCTCCCACAAGGGTGGCAGCGACCCAAGTCCTTGAACTCTCACCACGGCCTCCGAGGGGCAGGTTAGCGGGAAGCTGGAATCAGAAGCAGAGCCCGTGCCTCACGCCCATCCCCACGGTGCTCTTGGAGAGGTGTCGCGTCCCAGTGGAAGACCTGCCTGGCATATAACGAGATGAGTGTTTACAGTCGCTTGCACTCGTCCTGAACTCGTCTGCGGGAGGCAGAGGGCACGGTGCGGCCTGGTGTCTGAGCAGCGGCAGCTTCTGGCCTGGAGTGTGAGGTGTTCGCGGGGTCAAGTACGCCTGTTCCCTGTCTGGACGTGGGCATTGTTGCTCTTAGCCTGGGTGCTGCTGTCACTGTGACCTGTAGCGTTTCTGCTGTCGGGCTTGCTCCTGGGTTGACGAGGATCCCTCAGTGGGTGTGGACCGCCGGCCTGAACATCTGAGAGCTGAACTCGGTGTCAACCCGGGGGTTTTTCTCTTGCACGTTAGGAGCATCACAAAAGGTCCATTCCCAGGGACACCTGGAACCTCCTGCTAGATTTTGGAAACGTGATTGCAGACGATATGTCCAACTACGATGAAGAAGGTACTAGAGGTTGTGGGAGATGCTGTGTCAGACGGGGCTGTCACCTCTCCCTTTCTCCAGAGGGCTGAGGGCACAGGGGCCTGGAGGAGGAGAGGGGTTGACGGCTTCAGAACCAGCAGTCAGGCAGGTCCCGTTCGTCTCCCGAGACGCGGGGGACGGAGCGGCGCCTGCTGCTTCCTGCTTCTCAGAGCTCACAGACAGCAGCACGCTGTTCCGGCTTACGTGGTTTCCGTTTCTGTCCACTTACCCAAGTGGTCCTGGGATTTCAGGACCCTGCGTGTGTGCCACACTGGGAGAGCAGCAGAGCCTCTGGGCTGCAGGGTCCCTGAGGCCCCCTCACGTCTTCCTCGTGGCCACGCATCTGGCCAGGGCGTGCTCTGGGACAGCCTCGTCCCACACCTTCAGCCGGGGCACTGGGTGACTGGTATGCGGGTCGTTTTAGTTCATCCATCTCTGTCCTCAGCACCTCCCTTTTCCCATGCCTCACAGGCAGCGAACCAGGTCTGGGAAGTCCCAGAGGCTCAGCTTGCGGGAGCTGCGGGGTGCCCTGGGCCCTGTGTGGGTGGGCTCCCCTGGGGGGATCTGGCCAGCAGCCCCGCCTGGGGTCAGGAGCACCACTGACCGGAAGAGAGCTGCCCCTCATGGCTGCCTCATAAGACAAGTGGGCCTGGCTGCTGGGAGCCAGGCCCTGGAGCACACGTAGGGGCCGGGTGTGGGCTGCCCTCACAGAGCCCAAGTTAGCGTGCACCTGGCCTCCTCGAGCGTAAGGATTGTGGAACCTCAGCCGGCTTAGTCCATGAGCACGGCACGGGATTCTTGAAATGCAGGTGTTTTGTGGGAAAACCTTGTCTGACCGACTTAACCTTCTGTGTTTCCCTAGGCGCCTGGCCAGTCCTGATAGACGACTTTGTCGAGTACGCCCGGCCAGTGGTCTCGGGTGAGCCCCGCCCTCGCTAGGAGGAGAGTGGCAGCGGGGCCGGCTTGCGAGATGAACGCATCCCGCGCAGCCACGCTCTGGTCAGTCACTGCACGCCTGCCACCTTCAGAGGCCATCCGCGACCGGGGTGAGGCCGGCCTAGCCACCTCCGTCCACCCGACAGTGGCGGCCGACTCAGGAGACCTGTCCTCACGCTGCTGCTTTGGGAGACTGCTGCATGGTTTTTCTAGTTACAAAGAAACGGCCCACGCGGCCAGGGCTGCAGGGACGCTTAGCTCAGGGTCCGAGGTGACGCCAGCGGTCACCAGAACTCTGCACTGTGCTGTGATCGCCCTGAGGAGCCGCGCTGTGTCCTCGCGGGGCGTGGCACCTCCAGACAAGTCGGAGCTGTGGCAGATGCACCGAAGAAGGTGATCCTCTGCACGCGTCGTTTTCTAAATTTGTGCCAGAAATTCAAGAGTTATATTTTTTGAATTATCGAATGTCTAGATTTGCCAGATCTATTTTTGTTTGCACTTTCGGTAGTGTTTATCTGGAGATCACTTTCTGGTTTCTAAGACACCGTTGCAGTTTGCACGGGGGTGCAGGCAGCGGTCCCCAGTGAAGCTTTGCTTAGCTGCGTGCCGGAGGGGCCCGCCCCGCGTCTGATGCTGCTAGTCAACTTCCTGGGAAGTCCTAGAGTGTCTTTAATGTATTTTATTACATTCAAGAAGGAGTTTTTCCGTGAGAAAGATTTCTGTTGAGTGACGAGTTAGATGTGAAAACCAGACGCGCTGGTTCCTGTCACCCATGAGTGACACCCGCGCTGTCCAGCCATCGCACGGTCATGCGCGCTTGATGCCGGCCCCAGGCCCTCGTCTCACCTGTGGGCCGCAGCCCACCCCTGCGCTGGGCACCTGGCCGGGCGTCTGTGCTCCTCCTGCCTCAGAGGGTCTGGACGCCCCGCCCCTCTGGTGCTGAGCTGTGACCATCGCTCTGTGGCCACACCTCGCTTGCCACGTTTGGCATCATAGGCCTGCCTTGCTGCCCGCCTGCAACTGGGCCATGAAACAGGTGGGCTGGGCTCGCTCTGTGGGGGAGGGCAACCCCCTCCAGACACCACAGAGAGCACCCGCACCCAAGGTGCCCTCTGCACTTCAGGGAATGCGCGCTGTTGTCCACAGTTTGTGTGCCCTGCCCCAGGTGGGACGAGCCGGCCCTTCCCAGTCATGCGGCGATGTAACCAGTCACGTGGAGACATAACTAGGCCTATGAGGACAGAACTGGGATGTAGGGACAGAACTAGTTGTGTGAAGACCTAAGCAGTCACAGGGAAATAACTAGTCATGTGAGGGCATAACCAGTCACATGGGGACATAACTAGTTGTGTGAAGATGTAACTAGTCATGTGGGGACATAATTAGTCATATGAAGACATAACCAGTCACGGGTATACAACTAGTCACATGGGGTCATAGCTAGTTGTGTGAGGATGTAACTAGTCTTGGGACATAACCAGGCACATGGGGACATAACCAGTCACACGGGGACATAACCAGTGTGAAGACATAGCGAGTCGTGTGAGGATGTCACCAGTCACGTGGGGACGTACCTAGACGTGACTAGTAGAGTCTAGAGCACGCCACGCGCCCTTTCTCGCCTCTGCTCCCCTCTACATGAGCGGGCGCTGGGCCGTCTCTGTTGTACGACTCAGGCACATCGGGTTCCTTCCAGGCTTCCCGCGTGCAGAGAAGTCCCCAGAGCTCAGCCCCGTGGCGGCCGCGGGTCTGGGCTCCCCTCAGACCTAAAGCCCGTGGGCTGTGCACACGTGGCGGAGGGGCTCGTCATTCTGTCACGTGCTGTGTGCCGTGCTGAGATCTGCAGAAACATTAAAGGCGACTGTTCCCTGGCCGTGTGTCGTCTGCTTCTGTTCTGGGTTGTGCCAGCTCCCGCCACTGGAGGGCGGGCCCCTGCGCGCTGGCCTGGGCCCCTCCCGGTGCGCACTCCATCAGCTGCGTCTCCAGGTCTCCAGGGGTTTTCTTCTCCAGCGTCTCGTGGTGTGCTTCTGTGGGAGCAGGCTCACAGAGAACTGAGGGGAGTTTTACAGCAGCACGACCCCCGGGCTTGTTAAAAGTGGTGTAAGGTCGCCTCTGCCCTCAGAATGCCCGGGACTTGTTAAAAGTGGTGTAAGGTCGCCTCTGCCCTCAGAATGCCCGGCGTAGACGCTGTCCTGTCTCAGTGACGTAGCGCATGCTGTGTACAGCTCCGTAAAGCTCACGGGCAACACGTGTGTTCTCTGCCCCACGGGGCCGGAGCGAACTTTACGCCACAGCCGTAAAGCCTGGGCCTGAGCGAGGAAGCCGGTGAGCTCATCTCAGTGTTGCCGCTGGAGCACAGGCCGTGGGGATTGTTCCGACTGTTGTCCGAGACCTGGCCCAGGACAGCGACTGCCCTGGAGCATGCTGGGCGCCTGACTCCAGCTCCAGAACCCCGGTTTCCCAAGCACTGACACCGCGCCCCGTGTTTCAGGGCAGCTCACTGTCTTGCTGTAACCAAGAAGTTTTATTTTCATGGTGTATTTCCTTCTGCTCTGGAGCTGAGATCGGATCCCCAGGGAGGTGGGAGGGCGGCGTGGCCCCCTCCGGGGCTGGGGTGGGGTAATGACCGTGCTGCACCTGCCTCCTCCTCACAGCCTGGCAGGGCTCAGTGCAGGAGGCCCTGCGGTGACCAGAGTCACCGCCGCCTCCAAACCACAGCCTTGTGTGGAGGACACTTCACTTCTGCAACCTTTTTACAAGTTTTCTATCCCCAACGTGAAAAGAAAACAAGCTTCCTAAGAGAGGAAACCAAGGTGGGCGGAGCTTCGCTGGGACAGAGCAGCAGGCACAGGCCACATGGTGGTTCTAGCAATTTCTGGAAAATCTAGTCTGTGGCAAGGTAGACGCATTCGTTGCAGTTCCTGGGAAAGGCGAGAGCCAGAGGCAACGGGTGAGCGGGGCGGTGGGCGCGGACCTCGTGCAGCGAGAGGCCCGCTGCCCACATGTGCACACGCCTCCTGCTGCGAGGGACGGCTCAGCTCGCACGGGAGCCCGGCAGCTGCTTTGCTCCGGACGCCAGGGAACCTGACACCTCCCACGTGGTGGGATACAAGCTCATTGGTGGCACCAGCACACAAGAAAGGAACGTCCAGCCCCTTAGAGGACGCGCTGACGGCAGCAGTGACAGTATAAATGTCAGCGTCGCTGGCCGAAGGCAGCAGAGGCAGGGACGAAGGCCGCAGCCGCAGCTGCCGTGCCCGGCCCCAGCGATGGAGAAGTTCAAGGCTGCGATGCTGCTGGGGGCTGCTGGCGACGCCCTGGGCTACAGCAACTGCTGCAGGGAGAGCAGCAGCGCGGGCTCCGTGCAGAGCGAGCTGCAGCGCAGCGGCGGGCTGGACCGCCTCGTGCTCTCCCCAGAGCAGTGGCCAGTGAGCGACAACACCATCATGCACATGGCCACCGCGGAGGCCCTCACCACAGGTAGGCCGGGCGCGGGCGCGGCTGTGCAGAGCTGCCAGCCGTGCGGTCAGGAGGGAGCCGGTTGAAGTCCAGCACTCAGCATTGCTGGGCACCCTGAGCCGGTGCATCAGGCGGCAGCGCCGCCAGCCGGGGCAGCTCGTACGTGAGCGGCCTCTCGAAAATCGTACGAGGTTGATGGAGTTGGGGGTGGGGGGGACAAAGTTTCCTCAGGTGTGCTGTGGAAGTGGATGCGAGTTTCGGGAAACAGCAGGTGTCACGCCCCACTCTCCCTCCCCGCACTGCAGGGTGAGCCCCGAGGGCAGCCGCTAAGTGAATGGGACTCGCTCGCCTGCTGTGGACCGCTCAGTTTAGTTCTGTGGTCATTCTGCAGGAATGCCGCCGGCTTTGCGTCCCTAAATAGCAGGGAGAGCTGGGGCGTGCCGATGGGGTGAGGCACCCAGCTGGGAGGCGGCGACGAAGCCGCCCTCTAGTCCTCCCGAGGTCGTCCGCAGTCTCAGGGCCACAGCGGTCCCCCAGTGGCCTTGGTGGTCATGCACACCCCCCAAGCAGAGCCGGTGCAGAACGGAAGGCCTGTGGATCAAGCTGCTGCACATGGCACCGTCGTCGGTCCTGCAGCACACTCCCCCACAACCCCCGCACCCTGCATCTGGCGCTGGGCCTGGCGATCCCACACGTGTGCCGGCCCCCGCGCATCCTGCTCTCTGTCAGCGCCTGGTGAGTGTCACAGCCTACAGCCCTGCGTCTGGTCCTGCTGGGGGCCTGCTGAGCCCCTGAGGCTGGGTCAGCAGCACTCACGGTGGGGGCGGGGGTGCACTGAGCTTCTGAGAAGAATCAGTCCCCACGGGAGGGCGTCATGGCCATGGCCAGGGCTGGCGGTCATGGCGGAGCCTGAGTAGGCCAGCGCTCAGCAGAGGCCCCAAATCCCTCGCTCCTCTGCGGGGTAAGCGATTCTCCCAACTCGCTGAAAATCAAGTTACATTTCATTGAAATTCACTTTCCAAGCAGCCCAGTGTTTTTAACAAATCCCAGCCTCCAGAAGAGGGTGGCAGGAGCCGACTCCCACGGTGCTGCGTGTCCAGGCACTGGCTGACGGCCATGTGTCCTGCAAGCCATTCCCCACCCCCAGGTGGGCTGGAGGCCGACTTGGTCACCATCCGACAGGAGAAGGAGCTGACGCACACAGGCAGCTACAGGAGGACGGCGTTGGGAGCGCCCCGAGCCTGGCGCCTCGCCGCCGCGTTCTTGAGCTTTCTCCCCACCCCCGGGGCCCCCAGGGCCATGCACATATTTTAGGGGTCACCATGTGCAGTGGTTTTCCATTTTCCAAAGCCAGGCATTCACGCGGGCAGCTACATCTTGGGGTCGCTGCCTAAGTTCCACTTGTGACTCCCGGGGGAGGCAGCCCGTGTGGCCTCCCGGTGTGGGGCGTGTCGCTGAGCAGGGCAGAGAGCAGAAGCAAGCAGGGAGGAGCAGCGTCCCGCGCCCGGCAGGCTGCGTCAGGGGCGGTGTACATACAGCGCCGAACACGGTGCTCACAGTGCTCACGGCGCTGAGGCGCCTGAATCTCGCCAGGGCAGGCGTCCCGCGAACGCTTGTGTCCCCTGAGGGCAAGCTCTGGGGCCCCGGCTTGGCGCCACCGACTGGCTGAACATGGCCTCTGCCGAGGGCCGTGGGGGCTGGCGGGAGGGCGGGGGATGCAGCCCCGCTGGTGCTCGGCCTGTTCTACCCCTCGTGCGTCAGGGGAGCCAAAGGCAGTCTCGGGAACTGAGTATCTGTTAAGCAACCAAGAGGTGACATGGAGAAGTGTAAGGTGGCTGCGTCACAAAACAGAAACGCTCCTTATTTATTTATTGGAAAGTCAGAGTTACAGGGAGAAAGAAAGGTCTTCTATCTGATGGTTTACTCCCCAAACGGCCACACTGGACAGGGCTGGGCTAGAACAAAGCCAGGAGCCAGGAGCTTATTCTGGGTCTCCCACATGTGTGTGGGGGCCCAAGCGCTTGGGGCTTCCCCTGCTACTTTCCCAGGTGCATTAGCAGGGATTTGAATTGGAAGTGGAGCATCTGGGACTTGAACCAGCGCCCATATGGGATGCTGGCGCCGTAGACGGCAGCTTTACCCTCTGTGCCACAACGCCAGGCACAGCAACTTGGCACACGTGTTTCCAGTTCAATCCTAACTGCAAGACAATGCTTTCTGTTGATATACTTAATGGGCTTTTTCTTTCTTTCTTTTTTTGCTTTAAAACAACTAAATTCAGTTCAGTACAGACTTTTAAAAAATATTTATTTATTTTATTTGAAAGGCAGAGTTAGACAAAGGGAAAGACAGGGAGAGGTCTTCCATCTGCTGGTTTGCTTCCCAAATGGCCACAATGGCTGGAGCTGGGCTGATCTGAAGCCAGGAGCCTCCTCCAGGTCTCCCACACGGGTGCAGGGGCCCAAGGACTTGGGCCATCTTCCACTGCTTTCCCAGGCCATGGCAGAGAGCTGCACTGGACATGGAGAAGCCAGGACTCGAACAAGTGCCCACATGGGATGCCGGCACTGCAGGCTGCGGCTTTACCTGCTACACCAGTGCCAGCCCCCAGTACATTCTATGTATCTGATTCCAGAACAAAAGGAATTGTGTGAGGGCCTTCAGAAGGGTTAACCCAGGACACAGTGCAGAGAGGCTGCTTGTGAGCAGATCACGCTGCTGCCAAGAGCCACGGCCCGTGGGCTGCGGAGTGGACGGGCCCAGCACAGGCTGCCGGAACAGGGCTCATGTACAGTCAGAGCTGATCTCACTCCTGCAGGGCCATGGTGTCCACCCTCCCATGTGGCCTGCAGCCCTTGTTCCTCCCAACCTGTCTCCAGCCCGGCTCGGCCACGGGAAGCTCTGGGCAAGGCCTGCCTCCCTGGTCTCTTGCTTTTTTCCACCCTGAGACAAGGTGCCCACCAGCACAGGAAGACACGGCTGCTTCTTGGAGTCAGCCCCGAAGCCCTGAGTTGGAGCTCACTCAGAATGTAAATGCATGGCTGCTCTCAGGGGACAGCAGCAGGTGCGCTCTGCTCCTGCGTCACCAGCCTGTTCCCTGGTGTGCTAGAGGATGCGTGGCCCTCTGTCCGCCATGCTGTGAACCGACAGGGCCAAGATCACACACACAGCTTGGCAATCAGCATCCACTGGCAGGCAGGCGTTCAGCCTGGCAGTCAAGACGCCCACGTCCCCCGTCTGAGCCTGGCTGCAACCCTTCTCCTCTCCGGCTTCCAGCTTCCTGCTTCCTGCAAATGTGCACCCAGAGAGGCCGCAGTGGGGGCTCAGGAACCTGGTCGCTGCACCCACAGGGGACACCCAGGTGGAATCCCAGTCTGGCAGTCGTGAGCATTTAGGGAGTGAACCAGCAGACGAGAGCTCTTTCCGTTTCTCTGCCACTCAAAAAAACAAGTGTTTAAACCCATTGATGAGCCCCACCTTGGGCGGGACGCAGCACGTCCTGGAGCAAGGCAGGCGAGGACCTGCACCTGTGGGGAGGGGCTGGGGCTCGTATTTGTCCCCAGGTGGCTCTTGTGGGCTGGGGATCTGGTTTTACAGGAGCTGGCTGTGCAGGGCACAGGGTGTCCAGGGAGACAGGGAGCCGGCCCCCACCCAGACACCGCTTCGTCACCCGAGAGCAGGTGGAATGCGGCTCCCCCATCCCCGCCGGGACGGGGCCAGCAGTGCAGAAACAGGGTCTTGAGTTCTGCTCCAGTTGCTCACGTATGTCTCTGATGCGTGCAGCAGCCACCCGTAATGTCTGAAACCTAGGGGAGCCGGGGCTGCTGTGTAGTGGGCTAAGCCTTCCCCTGCAGCGCCGCCATCCCATGTGGGCGCCGATTTAAGCCCTGGTTGCTCCTCCTCCCATCCAGCTCCCTGCTAATGCGCCTGGCAAAGCAATGTAAGGTGGCCCAAGTGCCTGGGCCCCTGCACCCACCTGAGAGACTGGAGGAAGCTCCTGGCCCCTGGCTGCAGCCTGGCCCAGCCCTGGCTGTCCTGGCCATCTGGGGCATGAACCAGCGGATGGAAATCTCCCCGCCAGCACCTGTCCTTCTGCCCTTCAAATAAACAAAATAAGTCTTCAGAAATACAAAGAACATCTAGAGTGATTGTCTCCCAGCTGAATTTCCCCAGGGAGCAGGTTCGGCTGTGACAGGTCCCTAGAACCTCCCTCGTCCCTCTGCAGCTGGGAGGGAGACCGGGGTCCCTGCAGAACCTGCCCCACCCCACAGGAAGCGGGGGCAGGTGGCACTGCTCCACAGCTCTGCACCTGACATGCTGCTCTCCACTCCCCTCAGACTACTGGTGCCTGGACGACCTGTACCGCGAGATGGTGAGGTGCTACGTGGAGGTCATCGAGAAGCTCCCAGAACGGCGGCCAGACCCAGCCACGATTGAAGGCTGCTCGCAGCTGAAGCCAGATAACTACCTCCTGGCCTGGCACACACCTTTCAACGAAAAGGGTCAGCTGGTGTGCGGGGAGCCTGGACTAGCCTGCCGCCCGCGCTAGCCCTGACACCACAGTCCGCCTCCGCGCAGAGCTGGCCAGGGCCCCTAGGGCAGGGCGGGGTCCCTGGACTAATCTGCCGCCCGCACTAGCCTTGACACCACAGTCTGCCCCCGTGCAGAGCTGGCCAGGGCCCCTAGGGCAGGATGGGGGACCCTGGACTAACCTGCCACCTGTACTAGCCCCAACACCACAGTCCGCCTCCACGTAGAGCTGGCCAGGGCCCCTAGGGCAGGATGGGGGACCCTGGACTAACCTGCCACCGTGCTAGCCCCGACACCACAGTCTGCCTCCTCGAAGAGCTGGCCAGGGCCCCGAGGGCAGGGCGGGGTCCCTGGACTAACCTGCCGCCCGTGCTAACCCCAACACCGCAGCCTGCTTCTGCTCAGAGGTTGGCCAGGGCCCCTAGGGCAGGGCGGGGTCCCTCAGCGGGTCTAGGTGTGGCCTTCCCACGGGCACCAGACTGCCCACTAACACCACAGGAACAAGTAGCCTGGACACAGGGAGGCTATGTGAGCAGTGTAGACGGGACACGGGGAGGCAAAGTGGGCAGTGTAGACTAGACACAGGGAGTCAGGTGGGCAGTGTAGATGACACAGGGAGTCAGGGTGGGCAGTGTAGACTGGACACGGGGAGGCAGAGTGGGCAGTGTAGACTGGACACAGGGAGGCTGTGTGAGCAGTGTAGACTGGACACGGGGAGGCAAAGTGGGCAGTGTAGACTAGACACAGGGAGTCAGGTGGGCAATGTAGACTGGACACAGGGAGACAGAGTGTACAGTGTAGACTGGACACGGAGGCAGAGTGGGCAGTGCACAGCACAGGAAGGCATCGCTGGCCCTGCTGGCTGAGCCCAGGGCCCTCTCCAGGGTGCAGTTAAGGCGCAAGCAGCTTCCCTGTGCCTGGAGGCAGCGCCAGCCTGAGAGGGAAGCCTGGGTCACCCATCAGTGCTGGGCGCATGCGTGCATGGGTCTGGCGGTTTTCCTTCAGACAGCTGGGATGTTCCTGGTGAGGTAAGGCTGCAGCAGCGAGGGCACTGTGTGTGCCGGGGCGCTGCGTGTGCCAGGGCGCTGCGTGTGCCAGGCACTGTGTGTGCCGGGGCGCTGCATGTGCCGGGGTGCTGCATGTGCCAGGGCGCTGTGTGTGCCGGGGCGCTGTGTGTGCCAGGGCACTGTGTGTCGGGGCGCTGCATGTGCCAGGGCGCTGTGTGTTGGGGCACTGCGTGTGCCAGGGTGCTGCATGTGCCGGGGCGCTGTGTGTGCTGGGGCGCTATGTGTGCCAGGGTGTGCTGCATGTGCCGGGGGGCTTTGTGTGCCAGGGCGCTGCATGTGCCAGGGTGCTGCATGTGCACTGTCATTTATACCTGCCCCTCCCGGCACAGCCCCTCCTCCCTAAGATGCTGGTGAGGTTGCCTGTGCTGGCTGCACACAGTGCATCTGACCCAACCCCAGCTCTGTCACCAAAGGATGCACAAAGGGGGAGAGTTGTACACACACATGTACACACAGACTGCGTGTTCTGTACACATGTGTGCATGCACAGACTGCATGTTTGCACATGTGTGTGCACATGTACACACAGACTGCATGTCCGGCACATCTGCACATATAGACTTGAATGTACTGCACACATGTGCCATCGCAGACTGTGTATTCTGCACACACATGCACACAATCACAGATCTGCATTGCTGCACACACATGCAATCACAGCCTTGCATGTTCTGCACAATGCACACAACCACAGACTCACATATTCTGCACACACACACTATCATAAACTCATGTTCTGTGCACACATGCACATAGATGTGTATGCCCTACACACACATGCATACACTTGTGTGTTCTGCATATGCATGCACAGATTCACATGTTCCACACACATGTGCTCACTCTCATAGACCCATGTGCTGCACACGCATGTGGACACTATCAGACTCACATGTTCTGCACACATGTGCACACTTACATGTTCCACACATGAGCACACTATCATAGACCCGCATTGCTGCACATACGTGCAGACTTGCATGCTGTGCACACGCGTGCACACAATCAGACACGTGTGTTCTTAGAGCCGTTCTCTAAGGGTACTCGAGACTTCACAGTGGAGGCTGGAACTGTGGAAGCCGTGGAGTTCTTGCTTTTTAAAACTCTTTTAGTTCTCAATTGTTTTTTCATTTGATCTGAAAGGCAGAGACACAGAGAAGCCCACAGCAGCTGCGGCTCACCAGGCCAAAAGCCAGGAGCCCAGAACTCCACCAGGTCTCCCCCGTGGGCGCCAGTGCCTGAGCCATCAGCTGCTGCCTCCCCCGTCCATGAGCCGGGAGCTGGGCTGGATGCACGGCAACTGGGCGGTGGAGCAGGCGCTCCCGTGGTCTGCGTGTGTCACAGCGGCTGCGACAGATGTGGGGTTTAGTTTCAGACCCTCATTCTGTATTTTCACCATGCACGTGTATAATCTCATTATGAAGGCCTAGTTTAAATACTGCTCATTTTAAGAACACAGCCTGGAATCAGAAGACCTGGCCTCCAACCTCGGCTCCGTGCCCGGAGGGCCTCGTGCTCACGGGGTGGTGCCCCACGCAGTCCCCAGCCACAGCCTCCTAGGAAGCCACCGTGGCCTGGAAGTAGGCCCAGAGAGAATCCAGGGAGGACAGAAAGGTGAAATGTGGACTGAAATGCGCAGCTCACAGGGACACGCACCAGCGTTTCTTTTTCAGATTATTTATTTATTTCTTTATTTGAAAGGCAGAGTTACAGAGGCAGGGGCAGAGAGAGAGGGCTCTTCATCTGCTTGTTTGCTCCCCAAATGGCCACCGTAGCCAGGGTTGAGCCAGGCTGAAGCCAGGAGCTTCTTCCAGGTCTCCCACGAGGGTGCAGGGGTCCACACTCTTGGGCCATCTTCCTCTGCCTTCCCAGGCCATCCAGGCCATTAGCAGGGAGCTGGATCGGAAGTGGCACAGGCATGGCTAGAACCGGTGCCGGTATGGGGCGCTGGTGCTGTACGAGGTGGCTTACCCTGCTGTGCCACAGCACCGACCGCAACTTGCCACCTTTTAACACAGTTGATTTTTCCATTCTTACACTTTCATCCACACAGCAATGGTGCGAACAGCTGCGCGGGTGTTATTATCCCCGTGAGTTGGGTGTCCTGGGAGAGGAAGTGTTCACACTCCCACTGCTACCCCGTGCCCGGATGCCCGCAGCCCTAAAGTGGGGCTGGGAGGGAGCCCTGCCCCGCCCCTCGTGGCCTGGACCTTCTCTGCTCTCCCACCCAGGGAAGACCCGGGCTGAAAGCCATTGGCTCAAACAAGATTCTTCAGCCTGTGAGGGCGAAGACACTGCCTTGGACCCCGGGTGGTAAGGGCCGGTCATTTTCACTTGTATTTTTATATGTATTTAAAGGCAGAGAGGGCTGGCGTTGTGGCTCACTTGGCTAATCCTCCGCCTGTGGTGCCGGCACCCCGAGTTCTAGTCCCGGTTGGGGCACCGGGTACTAGTCCCGGTTGCTCCTCTTCCAGTCCAGCTCTCTGCTGTGGCCGGGAGGGTATTGGAGGATGGCCCAAGTGTTTGGGTCCCTGCACCAGGAGGAAGCACCTGGCTCCCAGCTTCAGATTGGCGCAGCGCCGGCCGTAGCGGCCATTAGGGGAATGAACCAGCGGAAGGAAGACCTTTCTCTCTGTCTCTCTCTATCTCTCACTGTCTAACTCTGCCTGTCAAAATAAATAAATAAATAAATAAAGGCAGAGAGACAGAGAGCTCCCACCTGCCAGTTACCCCACCAATGCCCGTTAACAGCCAGGCCAAAGCTGGACTCTAGGGACTCCGTCCCATCCCCCATATGGTGGCAGGGACACAGTGTGGGCCCTCACTGCCGCCTCCCAGTGTGCACACTCCCAGGAAGCTGGGGTCAGGAGCAGAGCTGGGACTTGAACCCAGGCATGGTAGCTGCCACGTCCAACTTCCTCACGAGGGTCAGAATCACCGTACACCTGCTCAGCTTCTAGAATATTCCAGAGCAATCTGCATGCATCGTCTCATTCAAGGCAAGCAAGGTGGGCACCGCCCCACCCCCAGCCCACCCCACGACGCAGAGCAGTGCTGGCTCTGCCCGGTCTGTTCATCCCATGCAACGCCTGGGGTTTATGGGGCCTTCAAAAACTCTGTAGAAAATGCATGTTACAAAAAACAAGTGCACAGAGTTTTTTAAGTTTCACAACCAAACATTTTTAATTCCACGTTTCCATGAACATTTTTAAAGATTTATTTATTTGCCAGGCAGAGTTGCAATGGCGGGTGGGGGGCCACGGTAGTTGTCCATCTCTGGTTCACTCCCCAAAGGCTGCAGTGGCCAGGGCTGGGCCAGGCTGAAGCCAGGAGCCTCTTCCAGGTCTCCCATCTGGGTGGCAGGGCTTCTGTGGCTTTTCCCAGCCCAGCAGCAAGGAGCCGGGACATGAGCCGGCACCCACAGGGGTGCTGGTGTCTGCGGCTGTACCCGCTAGGCCACGACGCTGGCCCCTTCCCTGAACATTTAAAGCACCCTCGTGAGATAGGTGATCGAGGGATTGCTGCTTCAGGAAGTGATTTCTCTCCTGCACCACTGTCTCTCGGAGTCCTGGCTCCTCTGCTGCTGCTCCAGCTCCTGTCAATGCACTCCCAGGGCACAGCAGTGAGGGCAAGAGCTCGGGTCCCTGCGGCACACGTGGGAGACCCAGCCTGGGTTCTGGGCCCCTGCATTCAGCCTGGCCCAACCTCGGCCGGTGCAGGCATCTGGGGAGCGGGTCAGCAGGTGGAGATCTCTGTCTTTTGGACAAAGTGAACACCCAGGCAGCAGGCAGCAGGACCCGGGTCTGCCGTCCTCCCCACGGGGCCACTTCGGCAGCTCTGCATCTGCGGGGCTTCTCGAGCTGCAGCCCAAGTGGCTCATGGGAGAAAGTGAGTGATCACAGCCTCTGTCGCCAGAGTACTTTCTAGAACGTTACTGCCATTATACAAATAGGCCCTCCTCACTAGAACCTTTAGAAAGCACAGGGGTTGTGAGGGAGCACACGGCCATGGGCTCCTGAGTGCGTGTTCCGCCAGTCCTGGGCAGCACCATGCCTGAGTGTGGAAATAAGCACACCCCTACGTCTGCCAAAATGAATGACCCAGATACACCCTCTGTCTGGAGCAACCGGAGAGTCAGGCTCTGGGCACATTGGTTCCCTGGATGCTGGAATCAGTCCACGAATGGCACAGATCCCGGGAGGGACGTGAGGCCAGCTGTGGCCGGGGTCACCACCGGGGTCTCCAAGCCACAGTGCGGGGAAGGGCACTGAGGCAGAGCCTGCTGAGCCCACTCAGTGGATCCTGCCGAGTGTCTCTTGGGCATCTGGCCGGGCACTGGTCAGCCCTAGCCAGTCAGGAGGAACTCCCAGGGTTCTTCGCCCGCACGGACCAGGAAGCGCGCCTGTCCTCACCAGCAAGGCCACCCGGTTCACAGGGCACTGTAGGAACGCTGCTCTGGTCCTCAGAGTGAGAAACAACTCATCTTTTTTTTTTAAAGATTTATTTTTATTATTTTGAAAGGCAGAGTTACAAAGAGACGTAGAGACACACAGAGAGAGGTCTTCCATCTGCTGGTTCACTCCCCAGTTGGCCATAGTGGCCAGAGCTGCGCTGATCTGAAGCCAGGAGCCAGGAGCTTCTTCCAGGTCTCCCACGTGGGTGCAGGGGCCCAAGGACTTGGGCCACCTTCTGCTGCTTTCCCAGGCCATTAGAAAGGAGCTGGACTGGAAGTGGAGCAGCCAGGACTCAAACCAGTGCCCATATGGGATGTCACCGCTTCAGGCCAGGACCTTAACCCACAGGGCCACAGCGCCAGCCCCGAGACCCAACTCTTAGAAAGCAAGACTTGAAAAGGTCAATTATTTCCAAGCAATTAACTACACCCCAAGACAAAGCTCAAATATATCTGTAGGGATATGAAAATATCAGGACTCCCAAAGGAAAATTCACCACGGCTGGCGTTCGGTTGAGATCTCACTGGGCGTGCAAAGAACGGGAACCCAGCCCAGAAGGAAGAGAAGAGTCAGTAGCACCTGCCGTGAGCTGACACGGGGGCTCGGAGGGCCAGGCGGGGACCCCAGGCTCTGAAAGCTACGTGGAGACGTGGGAGGCGCAGAGACCGGAGCCACACTCCTTGAGATGAGAGCTGATGTCTGAGTTTGCCTCAAGAGCAGCTGATGAGACGTCTCAAAGAAAAGATCGGTGCCCTCGAGGGGGCAGCAACAGAGCCGCCCAGCGTGGCCCACGCACAGAGCCGCGGTCCAGACTGCACAGGCGCCTGCGCAGCACAGAACAGCCCCAGAAATGCCTGGAAACTGCAGTCAAACGGCCAAAGTCCCAGCACGAGGAACATGAGGGGAACCACACCAGGCACAGAGCAGTCAAACCGCTCCGAGCGGCTGACACGGAGGCGGCAGAGGGACAGCGCGGGGAGGACAGAGTGGAGCCCCTCACCGGGCTGGCCGCGGACGACTTCAGGTAGGAGTCAGGAATGAAGGCGAGCGGCCTTCCTCAGGGCTGCAGAGGGCGCCAGCGGCAGTCGCCGGGAGAAAGTCTAAAGGAGGTCGGTCCCTCAGGCAGACGGGGAGGGGGGAGCTGCAGCCACACCGGCTGGTGTGTGTGTGTGTGTGAGAGAGAGAGAGAGAAAGAGAGAGAGAGAGAGAGAGAGAGAGAGAGAGAGAGAGAGAGGTGCCGCATCCACTCGGGTATGTGTGAGAGAGAGCGAGAGTGGAGCTGCAGCCACACGGGCAGGGGTGTGTGTGTGAGAGAGAGCGAGTGGAGCTGCAGCCACATGGGCAGGGGTGAGAGAGAGAGAGAGAGAATGGAGCTGCATCCACACGGGCAGGGGTGTGTGTGTGAGAGAGAGCGAGTGGAGCTGCAGCCACACGGGTAGGTGTGAGAGAGAGAGAGCACCCACACCTCTGGCTCACACCTCCCAGATGCCTGAACAGCTGTGCTGGGCCATGGCTGAAGCCAGGAGGCAGACTCCATCCAGGTCTCCCAGGTGGGTGAGAGAAGCCATCGCCACAGCCTCCCAGGGCTCAGATCATGTGGGCAGTAACGAGTTAGGGATGTGCACGGAAGCCCAAGGCCTCCACGGAGACCACAAGCAGCAGCCAAAAGAAGGGCTCACGCTGAATCCTTCAGACAACACGGAATCCCGCACTGGCAGGACAGCGCCGGAGGGCGACAGGTGAAGCCCATGGAAAACAAGCCAGCAAAGGGCTGAATCGCAGCCCCGGTGACACGGGCATCGGCCCTAGGGGGCTCAGGATCCCACGCAGCAGGCGGAGCCGGCAGCCTGGAGGGAGAAGCAAGCCCCGCCCCAGGCCCCACACGCACGTGCACAAGTACCCGGAAGACAGGCGTGGTGCCTGCGTCGGTGCCACACACAGCGAGCGGCAGAGCCAAGACCGTGCCGGGGTGAAGAGGGCGGTCTCATCAGGGACGTGGGCAGGTTCTCAGGAGGCCAGCACAAGCCTACGTGACCAGTGCCCAGAGACCCCAGACACAGAGCAACCCGACAGCGTGGGAAGCGGACAAGTCCCAGCGACAGCAGACTCAGCAGCGAGTGGCGCCAGCCACTGCACTTTTCACTGCCCGGAACTAGAAAAATAAGAGCCAATCAGGCGCCAAGGCAGCAGAAGCAAGGGCATAACGAGTTTCAGAATGGAAATCAATGAAGCCAAGAGCTGGTTCTTGAAGAAGATCAAAAAGGATAGGGTCCTCTCACAGGCCGGGTCCGACGAACCAGGGACGCCGCAAATGGCGCCGCCGCCACCGCGAGAGGGAGTCACGGACGAGGAAACACTGGCAACTTCACGCCAACGCGCGTGAAACAAACACATTCCGCGAAAGACAAACCCCAGCCATTCCCGCCACAGGAAGTGGCCCCTCCGAGGAAGGAGGTCACCAAGCAAACAGGCACCTGTGGCCTCCCGCCGAACGCCCCCAGACGCCTGCTGAACGCAATCTTCAGAGAACTGATGGGGAAGGGGCTCCCAAACCCCTCTCCCCTCTCGAGGCAGCGCTGTTGAAAGGATGGGGAGGGAGGCCAGGACTGGGCAGGAGCCCGGCCAGCGCTGCACTGCGGGCGCACACAGAGGGCGGGCAGAGGCCTGTCCTGCCAAAGACAATGCACAGCCAGCACGTGAGCACCCAGCCCGCTCAGCGTCGGGCGTCAGAAAGCACAGGTAAACCCGCAATGGGCACCCTGCGTGTGCACGGGACAGCTGGGGTGAGGAAGGCGGAGCACGGCGAGTGTCCCCGGGTGTGGAGCAGCCGCCGTCACCGGGGATGGGTCAACCCCCGTAGAAGCCAGCTTGGCAGCGTCTTAAAAAACGGAAATGTGATTGGGACTCTCCCTGACTACACACTTGCCTAAGAGAAAACAAAGCCACGTCCACTGGTGCCTCGTGTCCCCGCCAGCTCTGTTGGTAATGGCCCCAGGCTGAAACAGCCCTCTGGGGCTGGCACTGTGCTGTAGCCGGTAAAGCCACTGCCTGCACCTGCTGCCATTCTGTAGGGCGCCGGTTCAAGTCCCAGCCGCTCCACGTCCAATCCAGCTCTCCGCTATGGCCTGGGAAGGCAGAGGAAGATGGCCCAAGTGTGTGGACCCCTGCACCCATGTGGGAGATGCAGAAGAAGCTCCTGGCTCCTGGCTTCAGACTGGCGCAGCTCCAGTCATTGCGGCTAGTTGGGGAGTGAACCAGCGGATGGGAGACCTCCCTCTCTCTGTCTCTCTGCCTCTCCTTCTCTCTGTGTAACTCTGACTTTCAAATAAATAAATAAATCTTAAAAAAAAAAAAAAAAAGAAAGAAACAGCCTGCCCACACGTCCACCAATAGGTACCTGGGGGACACCCCGGTGTCGACCCAGACAGTGGTCACCCATGAAAAGGGGACGCTGGAACACTGCTGCCGAGAGACAGAGCGAGGGGAGAGTGCGCTCTGTGTCACTGTATGAAGCCCGAGAACGTGCAGCTGTGCCCGGGCAGATCGGTGCCTGCTGGGAGGGGCAAGGGCCTGGGACAGCTGCCGGCCGCTGGACAGGGTCACTCTGTGACCAGGCGTGGCGTCACAGGGGACACGTGTCGAACCTCGCATGCCCCTCATTCTGTTAGGATAACGCTCACCCTGAGCAGGTGTTGTGGCGTAGCGGGTAAAGCCGCCACCTGCAACACCGGCATCCCCTGTGGGCGCTGGGTCCAGTCCCGCCTGCTCCACTTCCGCTCCAGCTCCCAGCTAACGGCCTGGGAAAGCAGTGGAGGATGGCCCAAGTGCTTGCGCCCTGTACCCACATGGGAGGCCCAGCCCTGGCCGTCGTGAACAGTGGGGGAGTGAGGCAGCAGAGGGAAGACTGATCTCTTGTGTCCTCCATCCCTCTCTGTAACTCTGCCTTTCAAATAAATAAAATGAATCTTCATTAAAACAAGAAGAACGCTCAGCTCCGACGGAAGCGCACCGGGCACAAGCTCTGCCCTCACGCTTCCCCGAGGCAGGAACGTGTCTTTCACCGGCACATGCTCAGCCAAGGAAAGCCGGTTTTCAGACAGCCAGGGCCAGCGTCCCAGCGTGAGGGTGCCGCGTGGCCTCCGTGCTGGCCGCCTGGAGGTTCGCCTGTCGGCCACTCGTTCAAGTCACACTCTGGCGAGCGCGTGGTTACACGCGGTTTTGCACTTTTCGAAGTATTTGTGAGGCCAGGCTGCCAGAGGTGGGACCGTTGGAGCAGCAGTGTGACGCAGGCGTCCCTGTCACCCGCAGGCTCGGGATTCGGAGCAGCCACCAAAGCCATGTGCATCGGCCTGAGGTACTGGAAGCCCGAGCGGCTGGACACCCTCATCGAGGTCAGCGTCGAGTGCGGCAGGATGACCCACAACCACCCCACAGGTACCGAGCTGCCAGCGGGGCCGCCCTGGCCTGCCCATGGGACTGCGGATTCGTGGGGGGCTTGACGTTTTTCAATGTTTTCAACTTAAGAGTGGGACTGACGCTGAGTGCGGTGGTGCTGGAGAAAGTGTACAAGGGAAAGACTTCTCATTGGTTGCTGGTGTTGGTGCCCCTGGTGAAGCCAGGCTGGCATCAGGGACCCGGTTTGGTTGACATAGCGCTGTCGGCTGCGAGCCCAGGGAGCGGGCTCGGCCAGCCCACCAGCCCCGCCCCTCAGTTCCCTTGCCTGTTACAGGGCGACTGTAGCGAGGGAGCGCACACCCCTTCTTGGGCTGTGTGAGAAGACCCTAGGCTTCCCTGGGGTCCCTGCGGCATGGCAGGCTGCCTCCTGGGCCTTCTCCACACCCAGCCGCCCCGACAGGGAAGCAGCGGTCCTCACGGGAGGGCAGGCTGGGCGGCTACCACCACCAGTAGGACTGACACCGTCACAGCTGGTGTCACTGGGGCCGCCACCCTTTCCACTGCTGCCCTCCCTGACCACGATGGCTGCTGTGACCAGCACTACCGTCAGCCTCACTGCGGCCGTCAGCGGCTGGCACCATCACCACCGCCGCCCTCAGTGCCGCTACACCATGACCGTGCCGACCCTCGGCGCCATCCGCACTCCGGTGTGAGCAGGACCCAGCGGGCTGGCTGGCCGGCCGGGTGACAGCACCGCCTTTCTCTCCTCGACCTCCAGGCTTCCTGGGGTCCCTGTGCACAGCCCTGTTTGTGTCGTACGCCGTGCAAGGGAAGCCGCTGGTGCAGTGGGGGCGCGACATGGTGCGGGTGCTCCCGCGGGCCGAGGACTACTGCAAGAGGACCATCCGGCACATGGCAGGTGAGCCGGCCTCCCGCTCCTGTCACTCTGGCAGGCAGCGTCTGGCCTGAGGACTTTGCGGGGGTGGTGGACTGCACACCTCCTCATCCCGAGTCCGCCCTCTTCACCTCACATTGCCCTGGGTTTTGTGAAGCCAAAGTCATCCCAGCATTCCCAGAGGCCCGAGTCCCAGGGTGGCCCGCACCCTCGTCCCAGCACCTGTCCTGGGACCTCCTGGTCTGCTGTGGCCAGGAAGACACGGCAGGAGCCAACGTCCCTCTGTGGCCGCCCGCCCCAGCCCCGATCTGATCTCAGCTCCGTGCTCCTGTAGGCGGGCGGTCTGTCGCCACCATCATGTCCCTGCACAGCTGGTGGGAGGGGCGACACGGGCCTGCGCTGAGTGCCCGCCTCCACCTGCAGCTCCTTGGAGGCTGTGGACGGTGACTGTGTTGTCAACTCTTTGCTGGGCCAGCAGCCTCCTGCAATGGTCTTCAGCCTCCTGACGTCTCTAGGGCTTAGACCGCGAGCTATTAATCAGGAACGGAGAAGCCCCTCCCTCCCAACTTTGCAGACACAGTGTTCAATTCACGAAGATGCGCAGGTTCAGAATTTGTGGAGGATACACTGAAAGCCTTCCGTTGCCGCCCTCATTTGAGGAGAGAGTTAAGCGACTCTGGAGCTTGACTTCCGCCCATCGCTGCTCCCTTACTGTTCCGAGACAACGGCAGGAGTCAGCATTGCCCTGTTCCTGGCACAGTTGCTCCGTGTCTCCTGCAACGGCGGGAACTCAGTGCTTTGTGCACCTGCAGACGGAGGGAGACATCCTACCTCCCTCCCTCATCCACTCCAGCTGGACGGCCATCACCTCTGACACAGTCGCTCTCTTCTTCCCTTTAGAATACCAGGAGCACTGGTTTTACTTTGAAGCTAAGTGGCAGTTTTATTTGGAGGAAAGAAAGATCAGTGAAGACACAGAAAACAAAGCCGTCTTTCCCGACAATTACGATGCAGAGGAGAGAGACAAGGTAAGTGTCACCTCCACACTGGGGCAATGCCTGGCACTGCTGTGGTGCTCAACAGGTACAAACAAGGGGGCGGAGAACGGACGCATGGATGGACGGTGGGTGGATGAGTGGGTGGGTGGAGTGTGGGTGGGTGGAATGGTGGACGAGTGGATGAGTGGGTGCATGGATGGATATGCAGGTGGGTAGAATGGTGGTCAGGTGGATGAGTGGGTGGGTGGATGGGTGGACAGGTGGATGAGTGGGTGCATGGATGGATAAGTGGGTGGATGAGTGGGTGGACAGGTGGTGAGTGGGTGTGTGGGTGGATAAGTGGGTGGGTCAATGGGTGGACAGGTGGATGAGTGGGTGGGTGGATGGATGAATGGGTGGACAGGTGAATGAGTGGGTGCATGGATGGATGAGTGGTTGGGTCAATGGGTAGACAGGTGGATGAGTGGGTGGACAGGTGGATGAGTGGGTGGGTGGATGGACGAGTGGGTGGGTGGGTGGATGGACGGACGGATGGCTAGATAGCTAGATACACAGAGGAATGGATGGAGGGATGCAAGCAGGGAGGGATAAAGGAGGGAGGGACGAATGGACGATAAATGGATGGGTGACTGGGGCTAATGAGCGAGTGACAGCCTGTGGGGACACACGTTGCTCTGACGCACACGGCTGTGACATACGCTGATGTCTCTGCCTCTGACCTGGGTTACCCCTTCAGACCTACAAGAAGTGGAGCTCTGAGGGCCGAGGGGGACGACGAGGCCACGACGCCCCCATGATAGCCTACGACGCCCTCCTTGCTGCGGGCAGCAGTTGGGACGAGCTGTGTCGCCGTGCCATGTTCCATGGAGGTGAGAGGGCCCCTCAGGGCGTCCTGGGGCCAGACACGGAGCGGGCAACCTCTGGGCCCCAGCAGTGGCTTCTATTTCTGGAAGCTGGCCCTGCTGGCCACTGTCCCAGCATGCACCTGCAGGAACGCCACAGGCTCCAGGCGCCTGCCCTGGAGAGGCCAGCCCACTGTGCTCGGGAGGACAGCGTGGCCATCGGGCTCCTCTCCCTCACTGCCCCGGCTCGAGACTCAGAGTTTGCCCCCTGACCACGTGGGGGCTGTGAGGCCTCCTCACGCCTCCTTGCTTCTGCAGCCTCTGCACAGCTCAGATCAGTTTAGAATCAGGGGTCCTGGGTTGGGGTGGCACCACCCCTGGGTGCTGTGCCCTTGAAGTGAGATAGCAAGCACGCACCTCACTCCACATGGCACAGGGCCCTGGCGGGAGGGAGAGGTGCTGTCACGAGGGCTGGGTCTGGTCTCTCCTGCCAGGTGGAGGCGCTAACACTGCCTGGGGCCAGGTGCGGGAGCTCCTGGGGGGCCCGGGGACACCCAGCCGAGGACAGAATGAAGGACCTAAGTGGGGCATGTGGGGTCGGACGCAGGAGCTGGGCTGGAGGTTCTGTGCTGTGCAGTCTCCTTTGTGGGCACAGGGGATGGATGCCAAGTCCCTGAGGCGGGCAAGTGTGCGGGCAACGTGATGGGGTAGGGAGACGGCCAAGGGGGCCCAGCAGAGCCTGGGGGAGGCCCTGCTCGGAAAGGTCCTCTCTGACCGGGCCCCCGGGCAAGTGCTCTGTACAGCCTCGTACGCTTTGCCGTCCACTCCTACTAGAAAGTTCTGTGTGGGACAGAACTTTGTTGCACAGCTGAAGATAGGAATCAGGGTGGGGAGATGCCCAGCAAACCCTGGCCCTCCTTCTGCCTGGCCAGTGCGTGTCCTGGGCAGGGAGCAAGGGCGGGGGCGAGAGCTGACCATTGGCCAGGGGTCTGTGTCCAGCCTTCCCTCAGGGCCAGCCCCCAGCCTGTGTCCACTCCTGGTGTCCCCTGCTGTGGCCCCTCACCTCCCCCCACCCACTGCAGCCCCAGCCTCATCAAGACCAGCTTCTCTTTCCCACGCATGTGCACGTGTGTGCGTGTGTGTACGTGCAAGCAGACGTGTGTGAAAAGGACAGAACTCAGCGATGCCCTGAGTGTGGAGGTGGGGGAAGCGTGATCCACAGGTGCTGAGGGGTCCAGCCCCAGAGACGCGGGGTGAAGTGCTTCTCACTCCCGTCCCCAGTCACACCCCGAGCCCTGCCGCAGCCTCCGGCTGGGAGCACACCCCAGGTCTCCCGGGTACCTGGGCCCCCACTGCTGCCTCCCAGGGCCACGTTAGCAGGAGCAGGGCCGGAACTTGAGCCCAGGCACTCTGACGTGGGGTTGGGCAACTCAACCACCAGGCCAAACGCCTGCTCCCCACGCTATTTTCCTTTATTATTATTATTCTCAGCAGGGAAATCTCCGAAGCCTCCTGTACTACTAAAGTGATCGTTCCACATTCCCTGCTTCGCCGATTTTAAAAATGGATCCCTTGGCCGGCGCTGCGGCTCGCTAGGCTAATCCTCCTCCTGTGGCGCCGGCACACCGGGTTCTAGTCCCGGTCGGGGCGCCAGATTCTGTCCCGGTTGCCCCTCTTCCAGGCCAGCCCTCTGCTGTGGCCAGGGAGTGCAGTGGAGGATGGCCCAAGTGCTTGGGCCCTGCACCCCATGGGAGACCAGGAGAAGCACCTGGCTCCTGCCTTCAGATAGGCACAGTGCGCCGGCCACAGCGCACCAGCCGTGGCAGCCATTGGAGGGTGAACCAATGGCAAAAGGAAGACCTTTCTCTCGGTCTCTCTCTCTCACTGTCCACTCTGCCTGTCAAAAAAAAAAAAAAAAAAGGATCCCAAGGGAGTCGAGCAGCTTGCCCAAGCGCCGACCCCGAGACAGAGCGGGAGGCAGACAGAGCGGGAGGCAGACGTGTGCAGGCTGGATGGCACCTCCTTCACAGCGGTGTCCCGGGGGGGGAGGGGCCATGGGACACAGTGGTGGGGGGGGCTGGCTGAGGGCCACCCAGGAAGGCCATGGGGGCGGCACTGGCACAGGCCCGCGTTTGCCGTTTCAGGTGAGAGCGGGGCCACGGGCACGATCGCCGGCTGCCTGTTCGGACTGCTGTACGGCCTGGACGCCGTCCCCAGGGGCCTCTACCAGGGGCTGGAGCACCAGGCACGGCTGCAGGACCTGGGCGCGGCCCTCTACCGCCTGTCCACCGAGGAGAAGTAAAGCTACTCTGGTTCCCTCCTAGGCAGCAGGCCCCAGAGTCCACACCACCCAAAGTCCTCAGTGAGGGTACCCCAGGGTTCACACCAATCATGGTCCTCAGAGAGAGTGTCCCAGCGTCCACATCACCCACGGTCCTCAGTGAGGGTACCCCAGCGTCCACACCACCCATGGTCCTCAGAGAGGGTGTCCCAGGGTTCACACCACCCACGGTCCTCAGTGAGGGTGCCCCAGTGTCCACACCACCCACGGTCCTCAGTGAGACGGCCCCAGCGTCCACACCACCCGCGGTCCTCAGTGAGGGTGTCCCAGCATCCACACCACCCACGGTCCTCAGTGAGGGTGCCCCAGGGTCCATACCACCCACGGTCCTCAGTGAGACAGCCCCGTCGTCCACACCACCTGCGGTCCTCAGTGCGGGTGCCCCAGCATCCACACCACCCACGGTCCTCAGTGAGGGTGCCCCAGTGTCCACACCACCCACGGTCCTCAGTGAGACGGCCCCAGCGTCCACACCACCCACGGTTCTCAGTGAGATGGCCCCAGCGTCCACACCACCCACGGTCCTCAGTGAGGGTGTCCCAGCATCCACACCACCCACGGTCCTCAGTGAGGGTGCCCCAGCGTCCACACCACCCACGGCCCTCAGTGAGACGGCCCCAGCATCCACACCACCCACGGTTCTCAGTGAGATGGCCCCAGGGTTCACACCACCCACGGTCCTCAGTGAGGGTGTCCCAGTGTCCATACCACCCACGGTCCTCAGTGAGGGTGACCCAGCGTGCACACCACCCACGGCCCTCAGTGAGACGGCCCCGTCGTCCACACCACCCACAGTCCTCAGTGCGGGTGCCCCAGGGTTCACACCACCCACGGTCCTCAGTGAGGGTGTCCCAGCATCCACACCACCCACGGTCCTCAGTGAGGGTGTCCCAGTGTCCATACCACCCACAGTCCTCAGTGCGGGTGCCCCAGGGTTCACACCACCCACGGTCCTCAGTGAGGGTGTCCCAGCATCCACACCACCCACGGTCCTCAGTGAGGGTGCCCCAGGGTCCATACCACCCACGGTCCTCAGTGAGACAGCCCCGTCGTCCACACCACCTGCGGTCCTCAGTGCGGGTGCCCCAGCATCCACACCACCCACGGTCCTCAGTGAGGGCAGCTCCAGTGTGCACACCACCCACGGTCCTCAGTGAGACGGCCCCGTCGTCCACACCACCTGCGGTCCTCAGTGCGGGTGCCCCAGGGTTCACACCACCCACGGTCCTCAGTGAGGGTGTCCCAGCATCCACACCACCCACGGTCCTCAGTGAGGGTGACCCAGTGTCCACACCACCCACGGTCCTCAGTGAGACGGCCCCGTCGTCCACACCACCCACGGTCCTCAGTGAGGGTGTCCCAGCATCCACACCACCCACGGTCCTCAGTGAGGGTGACCCAGTGTCCACACCACCCACGGTCCTCAGTGAGGGTGACCCAGCGTCCACACCACCCACGGTCCTCAGTGAGACGGCCCCGTCGTCCACACCACCCACAGTCCTCAGTGAGGGTGTCCCAGCATCCACACCACCCACGGTCCTCAGTGAGGGTGACCCAGTGTCCACACCACCCACGGTCCTCAGTGAGGGTGACCCAGCGTCCACACCACCCACGGTCCTCAGTGAGACGGCCCCGTCGTCCACACCACCCACAGTCCTCAGTGAGGGTGTCCCAGTGTCCACACCACCCACGGTCCTCAGTGCGGGTGCCCCAGGGTTCACACCACCCACGGTCCTCAGTGAGGGTGTCCCAGTGTCCACACCACCCACGGTCCTCAGTGAGACGGCCCCGTCGTCCACACCACCCACGGCCCTCAGTGAGGGCGGCCCCGGCATGCACACCACATCTTCAGCAGGGCAGGCCGCCTAGTGGGCTGCAGCCTGGTGTCAGGCCCAGGCTCAGGACCCAGCTGCCCGAGGAAATCACCGTTTGTCCTGTGAGTGTCTCGTTCACCTGCACCAAACCTTTGGCACCGCTGATGTCCCCTAGGTCTGCCACTCAGACTTGCAAATACAGTGTAACCAGCGGCCTCCCGGGCCACGGGTGTGTTTTATTGTCGCACAGCGGGTGCACCACTCCCCGCAGTGACCCAGCGACAGCCCCGCCCGCCCGTCGGTGGGCAGACCTACCACCTCACCACGCACGCGACCTGGGCCGCAGCTCGGTGCACTTGGCCCTCATGACAGAAAGTCAGTGCGCTTTCCCTCCAGGGCCCGTGTTTTCAGAAACACCCGCACTCTAAGGTCGACCCGTGGGGAATGGCTCATGGGGAAGACAGGCCGTGAGCTGCCCATGCTGTTCCTGGTGTCTCCGGGGCGCGCGGCAGAGATGTCTGGCTGGGAGAGACCTGGGAGGGAGAACACCGGTTCTGCGGTCCCACGTGACTGTGGGCAGGGCCTTCTGTGGCGCAGGCGAGTACAGGCGGCATGCACCCCGTGCTGTGGGGCAGGATGGGACTCCCGCAGCCCCACAGGGGAACGAGGCTGGGGCAGGTGGCAGGGGTGCAAATCAGACCCTCCCTTCATGGCGGGGATGGTGGGATTCTGTCTAAGGGGACAGCTGACAAGAGCCCCCAGCGGCCAGGCCCAGAACATGACGGAGACCACCGTGGCAGGCACGTCCCGGGGTGGGGAAGGGTGGAGGAGGCAGGGCGCCGCGCTGGGCCCGGCAGGCTGATGTTGCTCCCGTTTCTAAACAGCTTGTGGTTCCTTCTAAGTGTTGCTTCTGACTGCAACAGTGTTTTGTGTCCAGTATCTCTGAAATGCTGATGATCTTAGATGTTCTGTCCCCAGTTTAATCCTCCGAGCGCCCCTAACAGGGCGGTGTGGCTGCAGGGCCTTGGGGTGGCGCACGCCGTAAGTCGCGCCTGAGGCCCGGGTGAGCTCTCAAGGCAGGCGTGGGTGGGGCGGGTGACCCGCTGCACCTGCTTCCCCCACATCCGTCAGCAGTACCCCTTGCGGTGGCTTGGGTGGGGGGACAGCGCGGATGGCGTCCTCGCAGGTGTAGCAGGCCCCGTGCCAGGGTTCTGTGGCCTGGTGCCCGGGGGAGGCCACGTGTGGACAGTGTGCATCAGGAGAGGGGCGCTCTTCCTCGGAAGTTCTTCTCCCCGCATCTTCACATCTGAGGACCAGCAAGAGGCAGGAGTGGCAGGTGCCGCGTTCTGTCCTGACCGTGCGGGGAGCACTCGGGTCACTCGGCTGCAGGAGTCGACCGCAGTGTGCGCTGGGGCCTCCCTAGGGTGAGGCGGCCCCACCCCGTCCGTCCCACTGCGCTGGGGTCCACGCACTCTGCCTCCTGCAGCGCGGGTGCTGACGCGCGGGGTGTGTAGCCGAGGGGTCGGCTGGAAGAGGGGGTGAGTTTCTCACCCAGAGCAAAGCAGCAGGTGTGAGAGCAATCTGGTCAGGTGACGGCCCAGCCCAGGCCCTCAACCCCGGAGTGACCTGTGTGACGCCAGCCCCGCTCACCCGAGCGGCCGGGAAATCAACCCAGGGTCAGTGACGGAACGGGAAACGCCCACAAGGACCTCAGAGCAAGTCTCCTTCACCCAAAAACTCACCCGGGGCCACACCAGCTCAGCTTAAACCCCCGATGGAAGCGACCTGGGGACCAGCACTGGGAGTGACTCTGGGACCAGCACTGGGAGTTACCCTAGGACCAGCACTGAAAGTGACCCTGGGACCAGCACTGGGAATGACCCTGGGACCAGCACTGGAAGCCACCCTGGGACCAGCCCTGAAAGTGACCCTGGGACCAGCACTGAAAGTGACCCTGGGACCAGCACTGGGAGTGACCCTGGGACCAGCACTGAAAGTGACCCTGGGACCAGCACTGGGAGTGACCCTGGGGACCAGCACTGGGAGTGACCCTGGGACCAGTACTGGGAGTGACCCTGGGACCAGCACTGGAAGCCACCCTGGGACCAGCCCTGAAAGTGACCCTGGGACCAGCACTGGGAGTGACCCTGGGACCAGTACTGGGAGTGACCCTGGGACCAGCACTGGGAGTGACCCTGGGACCAGCCCTGGGAGTGACCCTGGGACCAGCCCTGGGAGTGACCCTGGGATCAGCACTGGGAGTGACCCTGGGACCAGCACTGGGAGTGACCCTGGGACCAGCCCTGGGAGTGACCCTGGGATCAGCCCTGGGAGTGACCCTGGGACCAGCACTGGAAGCCACCCTGGGACCAGCACTGGGAGTGACCCTGGGACCAGCACTGGAAGCCACCCTGGGACCAGCCCTGGGAGTGACCCTGGGACCAGCACTGGGAGTGACCCTGGGACCAGCCCTGGGAGTGACCCTGGGACCAGCCCTGGGAGTGACCCTGGGACCAGCACCACAGCGCGGCCTCGTCCTCAAGCCCTGACCGTGCACGCGTTGCCAGTTAAAACCAAATGAGCCATCGCACACCCGGCACAGCTCAGGGTGAGAACCCACACGTGGCGACATTTCCCTGTCACAGCGAGGGGGCACATGGCCCTGCCCATCAGCCTGAAGCCGGGTTGTTTCCAGGGAGACACAGGCGTCCGGGTCCTCTGACCCCCCGTTAGCACAGCCTCTCCTGGCAGGAGACAGCCAGCAGCCGTGCACGACCTCGTGGCTCGGCCACACCGGGGCTGTCACAGCCGTGCTGGCGGCTTCAGGCCCGCTGGGAGGGAGATCCCCTCCCCCCCCCGCAGAAGGCCCCTGCCCCCAGCCCCAGCGTCCGTTTCCATACTCAGGAATCCAACACGGATTTATCTGCAGAACATCGGGAAGTTCCGACTTGTCTCGGTCTATAACCCACCTCACGGAGACCCTGCTCCGGTCTGGAGCCTGGCCCAGGCTGCTGCTCTCGCTGCGACAGTGACTTGCCAAATGGACCCTGGGCCCCAGTGGTCACCGCAGGGGAAGCCGGGCTCCAGGCAGTGCTGCTGGCTCATGGATGACCGCCCGGCCGCAGAGGTCACTCCCCACTGGCCTTTGCTAAAGCTTCGTGGACCCACACCCTGGCCTGGGCTCTGAGCTCTCGACAGCCAGGCAGACCGTCTGTCCTGTGAGGACCAGTGGAGCCCAGGAGGGCACCGGGCAGATGGCCCCGTCCCCTCCGCTCGCCTGCCCCAGGACACTGCTGGGTGCTGGTGTGCGGGGGCGGGGCTGAGGGGGCCCGGCCTCCCTGGTCCTTGTGGCCTGGTAGGGATGGACACAGCAGCCATTGCCTTGAGACTCACAGGCTCGTGTGTCCACAGGCATCGCTGTGTACCACGGAGGACAGAGGTGAGGACGTGGCTGCCTGTCTGGTCCGGGGTGTCACTGTGTGCCAGTGTAGACAGAGGTGAGGACACGGCTGCCCATCTCTGGTCATTGCATGTCCCAGGGTGTCGCTGTGTGCTCAGTGTAGATGGAGGTGAGGACACGGCTGCCCATCTCTGGTCATTGTGTGTGCCATTGTAGACAGAGGTGAGGACGTGGCTGCCTGTCTGGCCCGGGGTGTCACTGTGTGCCAGTGTAGACAGAGGTGAGGACACGGCTGCCCGTCTCTGGTCACTGTGTGTCCCAGGGTGTCACTGTGTGTCAGTGTAGACGGAGGTGAGGGCGTGGCTGCCTGTCTGGTCACTGCGTGTCCCAGGGTGTCGCTGTGTGCCAGTGTAGACAGAGGTGAGGACGAAGCTGCCTATTTCTGGTCACTGCGTGTCCCAGGCTGTCGCTCTGTGCCAGTGTAGACAGAGGTGAGGACGTGGCTGCCTGTCTGGTCACTGAGTGTCCCTAGGAGTCGCTTGTGCGAGGAAGACTCCGTGGGGCGGGGGCACTGAGCCCCAGCCCTGTGCAGAGGTGCTCCAGAGGCAGATGTGAGGCCTTGGGTGGGACACGCACCACAGACCTCCTGCGAGCAGGTGACAGGGCCGCCATGGGCCAGGCCACCAGAGAAGCAGACAGGTGTGTGCTGAGGGCAGGCGCAGGGCGGTTGAGTCCCCAGGCGGGGCGGGGCGGGCTCATGCGGTGCCATCACTCACTGCAGCTGTGGTTCATTTCCCAAGGGCACCTGAGCATCTTGGGGTGGGGGCAGGAGAGCCTGAGACCCCCTCCGAGGGGGGTGGAGGGTGCCCCCACCTGGGCACAGCGCGGCTCCGACTGGCCTCGGGATGCAGGGGGCCGCGGAGGGCAGGACAGTGATGGGGGCCCTGCTGGCGGCCACTCCACAGTGCACTCGTGGGCCTGAGGGTGTGGCCGGGTGGGCCAGGCGTCCCCTGAGAGCGCGGGGTCTGCCGAGGCCCCTGGCTGAGCAGGAAGGTGGCGTCCAGCCCAGGCGCGGGCCTGGGGGTGTCTCCCCGCGGGCTTCCCGGCCCCTCTGATATGCTCTCAGTGACTCGCCGCTGGCCGGCTGAACGTGGAAGGCTCGCGGCGCGGCTCATGCCGGCCCTGGAGGAGCGCACTCCACTCTGCCAGGGCCACGTCTGCTGCATCCAGGGTCGTGACCAGGCCCAGGCGCCTCCATGCCCCCCGCCGGCTCAGGGCCACTGACAGAGTCTGCGCAGTCTGCACAGGTCCAGGCTGTTGAGTGCCACGAGGTGCCCCAGCCATCGTCCCGGGGGCGCACAAGTGGGTGTGACAGGAAACGCAGACCTCGCAAAACGTGCTCGGCTGCTCTGCTCTGAGGGCCACACTGCCACCCCAACCCAGGCCCTCACAGATCACCTGGGGAAGGGTTTTGAGGGATGAGTAGGAGTCTGCTGGGAGGGAAGGGACTGCTCCAGGCCCAAAGGCCCAGCATGCAGACCTGCAGCCAGAAGGCAGGTTCAGCTCCCGGGTCAGGTGGTGTAGCCAGTGGCCTCGCGTGGGTGTGGCTCCCCTGTCCTCTCCTGCTGGGGGCCCACCCCCGTCCTCAGCCCATAGGGCCCAGAGCACAGCTGAGCTCCTCTGCAGGAGCATTCCCAGGGGGCACACATGCCTTCTGGAACCTGCTGGAACCTTCCCCAGAGCTGGAGACAAGAGCCCGCTGCAGTGGGCACAGGGAGTCAGGCCTCCTTCTAGTGGCCGTTAGCTTCGCTGGTTGCCCAATGCTGCCCTGGAACCGGGCCCAGCTGTGTCACTGGTCACCAGGGCCAAGGAACGTGGACCTGCTGTGGCCGCTGTGCTGGGCGTGGGCCCGCTGTGACGTCCGAGCTGTGAGAAGCACCGAGAAGTGACCACGGCACTCCCAGACCAGCGCTCTGCGCGGAACCGTGTCTGCAGAGCCCTGGGCTTCCTCCTGCCTGTGCGCCTCCGGGCACGACCACTCGCGTTCCCGTCTCTCTGCCCAGAGCACGGAGCTCCAACACCGTCCACGAGGGTGAGCTTCACGGCCTTGGCCCGCCGGCCAGCACATGCCCACGGCGTGTGGTCAGTGTGGCTATTTCAGTCCTCGTAGTGACTCAGCGCCACAGTCATGCACACACTGAAATAGCCCAGAGAGCAGCAGCTGCTGTGTGCCGGGGCTCCGGGGAGGTGGCTGGGCCTGCCGGAGGCCCGGCACGTGGTCTCTTCAGGCCTGTGGCTCCCACTACCTCCACAGCTCAGACCCACCATCCCCACTGCCACCCGCTCTCCACGGGGCTGGGGCTCAGGCATCCAGCAGTGAGCAGAGACCACACGGGCCCACACGGAGCATGGCTGGGGCTCAGGCATCCAGCAGTGAGCAGAGACCACACGGGCCCACACGGAGCATGGCTGGGGCTCAGGTGTGCAGCAGAGACCACACGGGCCCACACAGAGCATGGCTGGGGCTCAGGCACTTGACAGAGACCACACGGGCCCACACGGAGCATGGCTGGGGCTCAGGCACCTGACAGAGACCACACGGGCCCACACAGAGCATGGCTGGGGCTCAGGTGTGCAGCAGAGACCACACGGGCCCACACGGATCATGGCTGGGGCTCAGGCACCTGACAGAGACCACACGGGCCCACACGGAGCATGGCTGGGGCTCAGGCACCTGACAGAGACCACACGGGCCCACACAGAGCATGGCTGGGGCTCAGGTGTGCAGCAGAGACCACACGGGCCCACACGGATCATGGCTGGGGCTCAGGCACCTGACAGAGACCACACGGGCCCACATGGATCATGGCTGGGGCTCAGGCACCTGACAGAGACCACACGGGCCCACACGGAGCATGGCTGGGGCTCAGGCACCTGACAGAGACCACACGGGCCCACACGGAGCATGGCTGGGGCTCAGGTGCCCAGCAGAGACCACACGGGCCCACACAGAGCATGGCTGGGGCTCAGGTGCCCAGCAGAGACCACACGGGACCTCACGGAGCACGGCTGGGCTCAGGCACTTGACAGAGACTACACGGGCCCACACGGAGCATGGCTGGGCTCAGGCACTTGACAGAGACTACACGGGCCCACACGGAGCATGGCTGGGCTCAGGCACTTGACAGAGACTACACGGGCCCACACGGAGCATGGCTGAGGTTCGGGCACCTGACAGAGAGCACACGGGCCCACACGGAGCATGGCTGGGCTCAGGCACTTGACAGAGACCACACGGGCCCACACGGAGCATGGCTGGGCTCAGGCACTTGACAGAGACCACACGGGCCCACACGGAGCATGGCTGAGGTTCGGGCACCTGACAGAGAGCACACGGGCCCACACGGAGCATGGCTGGGCTCAGGCACTTGACAGAGACCACACGGGCCCACACGGAGCATGGCTGAGGTTCGGGCACCTGACAGAGACCACACGGGACCTCACGGAGCATGGCTGGGGCTCGGGCACCCAGCAGAGACCACACGGGCCCACACGGAGCATGGCTGGGCTCAGGCACTTGACAGAGACCACACGGGACCTCACGGAGCATGGCTGGGGCTCAGGTGTGTAGCAGAGACCACACGGGCCCACACGGAGCATGGCTGGGCTCAGGTGTGCAGCAGAGACCACACGGGCCCACACGGAGCATGGCTGGGGCTCAGGCGTGTAGCAGAGACCACACGGGCCCACACGGGCCCACACGGAGCGTGGCTAACCAGGAGCCGCAGATGTGCCACGTGCTGCCACAGCAGAGGGCAGGTCCCAAGGGACAGGAGCTGAGTGACCCTGAGAGGCACTGCTGAGGAGAGCGGGAGGTGGACCTCACGGGGGAGCCAGGAGGGCACAGGACGGTGGCCACGGCCGAGCTTCCGGCAGCTGAGGCCTTGGAATGAGCAGAGGCCCTGGAAGAGGAGGATCGGGGGTCCCGGGGTCCCGTGGCCGTCAGGAGCCTGGACTCCACCCTGAAACAGTGGGCGGCCCCTGCTGGAGCAGGCCTCCTTGCTGGGCCCGGGTGCAGAGCTGGGGGCCTCAGGCCAGCGTGGAGGCGGAGACTGGGGACGCAGTCTGCTAGCCAGAGGTGGCACCGGGTGGGAGCAGCCGACAGAGGACAGTCGGGCCTGGGGCTCCACCTACCCAGCAGGGGACACGAGGTGAGGGCAGCTGGGTTCGGTCACGTGACTTGATGCCTTTAAGACCCCAGACGTCCTGCCAGACACTCTGACCTGGACAGCAGAGGGGCAGCCCTGCGCTGCTGAACTGAGCGGCCATCAGCTGAGAGGTGCCCGTGGTCACTCACAGCCCCGCGGCTGAGGCCAAGTGGCTGCCCCACTGCTGCAGAGACCGCGTGGGAACTGCAGGCCGGGGGACGGGCACAGCACATGAACCCTAACTGAGGAGCAGGGGAGGAGGGTTGAGGGGGGCGCAGGTGCCCACAGTGCCCTCCTGGCCTGGAGACCCTGAGGGACGCCCTGCGGACCACGTCCTAGGAAGCGAAGCCCCCAGGGCCCAGCCCCGTGCAGCCTCCGCCGCTGACCTGGCCCTCGTGGAGGGGATGGGTTGGCAAATGGCCCAGGAGGCAAGGGAGGCAGCCGCTGGCCGTGGCCTCAGTGTCGTGGAGGCGTGGCCTGAGTGCCAGCCTCAGTGGGCACCGCCTGCACGGGCAGCTGCATGACCCTGGGAGCTTCCCTTCTGGTCCCCGAGATGCGGGGTGGGGCGTCTGGGCCCAGGGCGTGCGGCTGCCCCGGGACCGGTCTGCCAGCTGGGAGGAGAGGGGCGGCTGCCTCCCGGGCGGCAGAGCCCCCACGTGCCGTGCAGCTGCTGCGGGATCACTCTGCAGCCCCGCTGAGGGCGAGCTCGCTCACACCCGCCGTGGCCGTGGACGCATCCGGGCTTGGTGTGAGTCTGTCAGTGTCTGCACCAGCGTGCTGGTTCTGTAATCCACGGCTGTCCACGGTACGGGCTGGTCCTGCTCTCTCCGTGGGCTCAGGACGGGGCCCTGGACCAGCAGTGTTGGCTCTGCCAGCTCCCCTTAGGGGTGCAGGTTCCCAGGCCCTGCCCAGAGCTGGGTCACGGGGGCTGTGCCGTCGGTCAGGGCCCCACAAGCCTGCAGCAGAATGGCCACGCAGAGGCTATGACCACCTGGGAGGTGAGGGCAGGCCCGGGGGCCCTGAGGCGTGAGCGTGTACCCACAGTGATTCTGGGTTCTTGGCCTGTCTACGTGAGCAGAATGTGCCCATGTTCGTGTTCCACACGCCCCACCCAGGCAAAGCGGTTTTCCCCTGCTTTCACGAAGCTGGGTTTAAGACGGATTCATCAATTTGAAGGCAGAGTGAAGGGAGCTCTTCCATCCACTGGCTCACTCCCCCACCGCCCACAGCAGCCAAAGGTCTCCCAGGGCTGCGGGGACCCAAGCACTTGGCCCGGCCTCTGCTGCCTTCCCAGGGCGCCGGCAGGGAGCTGGATGGGAAGCGGAGGGGCCGAGACTTGAATTTCGCTCCAATATGGACTTGGGCATCCCAGGCTGCAGCTTAACCCGCCGCTCCACAGCACACACACACACACACACACACCCCGCAAACACACAAACACCGAGTGTGAGCTTTCAAAGACGCCAGGAGGAGGGTGGGAGAAGCTACGGCGGCTTCGCAGGGAGTGGGCCCTGAGCACCCGTGGTGCCCCTGGCTGTGGTAGCCCCCCCGCCCCGCCCCGCCCCAGCCTCGCTCTTCCTCCTGGACCCCTGGGCACTCAGGAGGGAGACCCCCCTTAGAAACGTTCCGTAGCCCCTGGGAGGAGGCGATGACGAGGCATGTGACTGTGAGTTTCTCTCCACAGCCCACAGAGCCGGGAGCCCGGCGGCAGGGCGGTGCCGGCGCACACGCAGCAGGGTCTGAGGAAGAGGGTCAGCAGGACCTGGGACCCCGCGGCCCGCGCCCTGCTCGGCAGCCTCCTGCTGTACCTCGCCAGCCGTGCAGACGGGCCCCTGGCAGCCGAGGGCCCGGAGCACAGAGCCGGCCGCCCGCCGGGGCCCCAGGAGGCCCAGCGACGGCCCACACGCTTCCAGCTCCTGCAGGCCAAGTTCATGGGCTCGGGCCGAGAGCCCCACCTCAAGAGGACCCGGGAGGTGGGCCGGCTGATCTCCAGGGACAAGCAGGGGCCGGGCAGGAGCCTGGTGAATGCCACCATCCATCGGCTCCAGGAAAGCACCGGCCAAGCAGCCGGCGGCCCCGGCCAGAGGCCCCTCCCCAGAGAGAAGCCCCGCTGGGGCCCCCCGGCCGGGAAGAGCTTCGTGAAAAACATCCTGAAGAAGTTCCTGGCGGTGGAGGAGAAGGAGGCCGGCGAGAGGCCCCCTGCGGGCCGGCCCAAGGCCCCGGGCAGGAGCTCGGCCCTGTGCCGCCTGCGGGAGAGGTTCGAGCAGAGCAGCTGCCTGTGCTCCGAGGCCGGCCTGCTGCCCCTGCGCAAGGACTCGGGCAAGAGGAAGCACCTGCAGCGCCGGAAGATGCACAGGCCCCAGGTGCGCGTGCTGCACACGGCCACCATGGCCAGCACCTGCCTCAGGACGCCGCCCGCCCGCTTCCTGGCCTGCACGGCCGAGCCGCTGCCCGCCCTCAGCATCGCCACCGTGGTCTGCGGCCCCAGGAGCTGGCTGGCTCACTGCGCCAGAATCAGCCACGCGGAGTCCCGGCGCCGGCCCGCCCAGCACCCCACGCTGCCACTGATGGCCCACGGGGACGGCGGCCTGGCTCTGAGCACGGAGCGTGCTTCCCACGAAGGCCACGCCCTCCCCGGCCTCGTGCCTGTGCCATCCCCAGGGGGCGCCAGGTCAGCCGCAGGAGACAGGGCAGTGGAGCCCAGGGCCGGGGGCAGCGCAGGTGCCACCTGGGAGGTGAGGGCCGGCCCAGGGGAAGCCCCCGAAGTCACCATGACGGTGTGCAGCTCTGACGAGGAGGCCGAGGAGGCAGCCCCCGCCTGCGGAGGAGACCCTGTCTTTGCCACCCAAAAGCATCTCCCAGAAGAGAAAGGGCTGGAACTTATCCCCCCGCTCCAGCCGCTGGCCGTGCAGGCCACTCGGCGGACACAGTGCGCCATGGAGTCCCCCCAGGTGACATTGCGCCTTCCCGTCATCCACGAGATGCCCCCCGCCCCCCCGCAGAGCGTGGCGAGCACCCCCGGGGGAGGGCACGTGGCCGACAGTACACAGGCCGTGTTTCCCACCGTGGCCGAGGACAGGATGGGTACCCGGGCTGCCGGGAGACCAGCTCCTGAGCAGGGGTTCCAGGCACAGCCGGCAGGCACGGCTGGGGCCGGTCCTGAGGGCCCAGGGGCAGCGCTGGGGCCAAAGGATGCTCCCCGCGGAGGGCAGGACGGCAGGTGCAGCTGCCAGGGCCCAGGTGTGCTCGGAGGTCCTGAGTGCGCCCCCGGAGAGCGTGCTCCCGAGCTCAGCTATGAGAAGCATCGGTTCCCGGCCCCAAAGGAAAACCCCACAGGCAGCCAGGGTGCAGCCTCGCATTCGCCCAGGGCCACAAAAAGCCACCCAGGAAAAAGCACCTGGCCGAGCCCCAGCAGTCAGCATGGAGAGGCCGGGGGAGGCTCCGCGGCCCAGGACGGCCGGGGGCCGGAGGGTGTCACCACGGCTGATGTGTGGGAGCAGGAAGAAGGCAAAAGGCCCCCAGAGACAGCACCTGCTCAGCCCCCGGGGGCTGCCCAGGGAGACGCCGGCCGTTCTGCCCAGAACAGGCTGCCCTCCTTGGACGAAGCCACGCCAGGCAGCAGAGGCTCTGGGCAGACGGCGGCCATGGGGAACACCGAGCCTCCCGCGGTGCAGTCTCCCGGCAGCACCCAGAGCCCCGAGACCAAGACAGCAGGAGAGTGGGTGACTTTGGACAAGAAGGAAGGTGCAGCCAGGCCGGCAGGCCGTGCAGTCGGGGAGGGAAGTCGTCTGCCCCGGGGTCTTGCCCCAGAACCGGGCGGCCGCCTCCCAGGGCTGTGTGCAGCTGAAGAGAACGGCGCCCCGGAAGGCACAGGGCAGCGTTACCCCCCGGGGCCAGCACCTGCTGAGCCCCAGCTGCGTCTTTCCAATGGGTGGGCAGCCAGCAAAAGCAGCAGAGCGTTAGGAAGCAGAAGCGAGGCCGTGGGGGAAGACTCTCGGGGTGACGGCGACCAGCCCCAGACAGCAGCTGCCAGGCACCCTGAGCCCCAGGGAGAGCACTCAGCACACGGCCTGGGCGGGCCGTGGGGACCCTTGGTGGCTGTGCAGGCCCAGGGTGGACAGCAGCCCCCTTCTGCCGCCGGGCCCTCCCATGCACATCTCACAGTGCCAGCCAAGGGGGCAACCAGGCAGGCAGAGGGGGCCCAGGCTGTGTTAGGGGAGGGGGCCCAGGCTGTGTTAGGGGAGGGGGCCCAGGCTGTGTTAGGGGAGGGGGCCCAGGCTGTGCAGGCAGAGGGGGCCCAGGCTGTGTTAGGGGAGGGGGCCCAGGCTGTGTTAGGGGAGGGGGCCCAGGCTGTGTTAGGGGAGGGGGCCCAGGCTGTGTTAGGGGAGGGGGCCCAGGCTGTGCAGGCAGAGGGGGCCCAGGCTGTGTTAGGGGAGGGGGCCCAGGCTGTGTTAGGGGAGGGGGCCCAGGCTGTGTTAGGGGAGGGGGCCCAGGCTGTGCAGGCAGAGGGGGCCCAGGCTGTGTTAGGGGAGGGGGCCCGGGCTGTGCAGGCAGAGGGGGCCCAGGCTGTGTTAGGGGAGGGGGCCCAGGCTGTGCAGGCAGAGGGGGCCCGGGCTGTGCAGGCAGAGGGGGTCTGGGCTGTGCAGGCAGAGGGGGCCCAGGCTGTGCAGGCAGAGGGGGTCCAGGCTCTGCCAGGGGAAGGGGCCCAGGCTGTGCAGGTAGGGAGAACCCGGGGTCAGGAGCCCCCTGTCCCCGAGGCACATCTGACACCTGTAGCAAGTCTGGAGGCAGAGCAGACGGTTGGCCTGGAGACAGAGTGCTCGGGGAGTGCGGCCCAGACCCGGCAAGCACGGGCAGGCGTGGGGGGGCGAGAAGGTGCCCGCGGGCCAGGCGTGCGGTCGCAGCAGCCCCAGCAGCCCCGTGGTTCTGGAAAGGGGAGGGCAGCCCCTGGGGGCCGGAAGGCTGAGCCTCAGGCACCGTCAGCTCCTGGCAGGCAGGTGAGGAGCCCAGCCCAGGGAGATGACACCCAGCGTGCAGATGCGCCCAGAGGCCAGGCCGCCTGGGGGCAGGCCCAGGCCAGCGGGACAGCAACGCAGGCCCGGGAGCTGCCTGTCAGCATGGTGGAAGGGCCACCCACTGCTGGCCGGCATGAGGAAGCCCCCGGTCCCACCCCTAGAGACAGCGGCCTTGGGAGCAAGAGCACCATGGCCTGTTCCCCAGGGCGCGATGCTGGAGGCCACCCAGGTCCCCAGCCCCCAGCATCGGAGGGAGCCCCAGGTGCCCAGGGGCCAGAGAGGGCCGCGAGGGCCTCAGTGGAGGGGACGCTGGGAGACGAGCGTCGGAGGTCGGTGCGCCTGGCAAAGTACAGGGCCCAGAGCTTCGGGGACCAGAGGTCCTTCGATTTGTCTTTCAGAACCACGGTCAGGGCCCACGAGGCGTGTGAGCTCCCCAAGTGAGGCCAGCTCTGGGCCCGCAGCGTCCACTCCCATCCCCGACGCCGCGGGCAGCCATGTCCTCCGCTGCCGCCCTTCCCCTCCCCTGCACCCGCGCTGGCGTGGACGGAGGTGACCGGCACGGGGCCTGGAGGTCTCTCCTTGCCAGGCCCAGGTTGGTCCACCTGGAGGCATCAGCCTCACTCCCCCATCTGCACACGCAGAGCTCGGCAGGAGCCCCGGGGCCTCCCACTGGGGCTCCCGCTGCTCCCCTGTGGCCAACACGTAGCCATGACACCTGGAGAGGACGGCCCCACGTCGGAGTGGGTGGGTTCGAGTCCTGGCTCTGCCACTGACATAGCCCCTGGGAGGCATCGGTGAGGGCTCCGTGGCCGGGCCCCTGCCACCCCCATGGGAGACCCCACTGGAGTTCCTGGCTCCTGGCTTTGCCTGGCCCAGCCCCAGGTGTTGTACAGATTCGGGGAGTGAACCAGCGGACGGGATATCTCTATCTGCCATTCGAATAAAAACAGATTATTAACACTTGGAGGGACTGCGGCCTCCCGTGCTGCAGGGGCCCTGGTGGGCCACACGGCACCAGGAACCTGGGCCTTGGGCCTGGAAACTCCACGCTGAGGTCCAGAGGGCGACCGCGAGGGGCTGAGAGGTCTCCTCTGTGCCAGGAGCTGCACGACTCCAGGAAGCCCCCGTGCGGAGCCCGCGTGGCCACTGACTGTCCCCACTGCGCCCCGAGTCTTCCACGTGGGCATCGCGTGTAGAAGTCGGCAGGAGGAAACAGTCCACCAAGGCTGTTCCTGTGAGCAGCCGGCAGTGTTCCCCGCGCTAAGTCCCAGCCGCCCGCCGTGCAGAGCCGCGTGCCCACACGCCCCGGGCCTCTCGGGCAGCCGCACACCTCCCGGCACACGGGGCTGCTGTGGCCACAGCCTGCACCCTGGCCCTCCCGGCTTGCTCACGGCCCTCTTTGCAGAAAGTTGACTTTGGCTTTTCAAAGGCTTCCCGGCCTTTGCTGCCTTGGCTCTGCCTCCAACGTCCAGCAGGGGGTGGGGGGTGGGGGTGGGGGGTGGGGATGTCGGCCCCTGGGCCACAGAAGGCCAGCAGAATCATGGTCTGGCCCGCGGATGATGTCACAGATACCCACTCGGCCCTGGGCAGCGGAAGCCGCTTTCTGACCTCAGCTTTGGGGAGGCCTCCCCAAGCCCATCCCGCCCACGGCGAGCCTGGGGCCACCGGGTCCCTGCTGCCGGCCGCCCGCTGCTCAGGGAGTGCAGAGCCGTGTCCCATCTGGCCTCTGCCATAGAGCAGTTTCCTCGAAATCCTACAAAGTTCTGTTGTCCTCCCCGCGGGGCCACGCTGGCTCCCCTTGGCACGCGGGGTCCCCTCCCCGCAGGGCCGCTCCCCTGCCCCCTTGCGGGGGTGGTTGCTTTGCTGGGTTCCTGGCTGCGCCCCATGAGCCTGAGAGTCGCCCAGATGCAGGTGCTGGCCCTCGGGCACAGTGTCAGGGACGAGACGACCCCCACCGGGACTTGAGGGCCTGTGGACTTGGCTTGGGGGTCTTGCTGGGCATCTGGGGAGAGTGGGGGTCCTTTCTCTGGGTGGGGGGCTGCAGGGCCGTGGTGACCCAGCCTGAGGAGTCAGAGGCGCCTGGCCTGGGGGTGGGGGAGCAGGCAGGGCCTGTGGGGCGGGCGTCTGCGTGGGGGCCAGACCGCGCTCTCTGGCTGGACCTGTGGTCGCACAGAGTGCTGGAGCCAGTGCCGGCGGGATGACAGGCAGGGCAGATAAAGATATCACACTCTCGGGCGGAAGCAAGCAGCCCAGGGCCTGGCTCTATTTTTACACAGTGCTGGAGAACGCGTTGAGTGGAATTATTTTAAGTGGTGGAAAAAACGCCCAGAATCTCGTGCGGGTGACAGGGAGGAAAGGCACGCGGGGGAGGGGCTCAAGGTCACAGCGCCCTCCGCCCTCCGCTCTGCTCCTGAAGCCCGCAGGGGCTCTGTGTGGGAACGGTGATTTCCCACGGCGCCCCCACCCCCCACGGCAGAGAGCCAGAACCAGCCGGGGCGGCCCAGTGGGGTGCCGGCTCCGCAGGAGACCCCCAGCCCCCGGCTGCGGCCACTGTTGCAGGCCCCGCCCTGCGCTGGCAGTTTGCTTTATTGGACAAGTTTTCCTTCAATTTCTATTTACTTATTTTTGTTCTCACCTTATCTGAAAGGCAGAGAGAGAGAGAGAGGGAGAGATCTCATCCACTGGTTAATTCCCCGATTGGCTGAAGGCAGCTGTGGCCGGGGCAGGCCGAGGCGAGGAGCCAGGAGCTCCGTGCAGGGCTCCCGCGTGGGTAGCAGGGACCCAGGTCCTGAATCACTGCTGTCACCTCCCAGGGTGCGCGCCCGCTGGGAGCCGGACTAGAAGCAGCGCCGAGACTCAAAGCCGGGCACAGCAGCGTCCCAACCACTGCACCAAAAGCTGCCCCTTGGCAGGCGTCTCAAATAAAAGCCGAGGGAAAGAGAAAAACCGCGTGTGTGTTCCAGCGTCCAGTCTGGTAGCCTTGTCTGCAGAGCTGACTGGCTCACAGTTCATGGCACACCTGCGGGGCTCTTAGTGTTGCCATGCACCGCCTGTGAGCCTGCACCACCCGTGACCTGTGAGCCACCTGTGAGCCTGCACCACCCGTGACCTGTGACTGTGGAGAGCTGGTGCCCTGGGTGCGGCAGACTCTGCCAGGAGCGACCTCCGAGGGCAGCCACAGGCGGACGCTCCGCCTGCAGCGTCACTGTCGGAATCAGGACCGCTGATTCTTCCTGGGGCGCCGTGGCCGTGCGCACTGGTCTGCGGTGATGGATTGAATTTCCCCTCTGTGCCCGTCTCCAAAACGGACTTGTTAGGAAAAGCTACTGAATGTATTCTGTTTATTCTCTTTTGAAGATTTGCTAACTTTATTTCTTTTCAAAAAAAGAAAGAAAGAGAAAGAAAGGAAAGAAAAGAAAACCCATTTCCCTTCAGGATGGAACAGAGAGAGGGCGGGCAGAGGGCGCCGTGGAGGGCAGTGGGCCAGCAGCCAGGGTCTGGGGCAGCGCAGCGACCTCCTGCCCGCCCGTCCAGCGTGGCGCGGGGCTTCCTTATGACTTAGAATTCTTATTTAAAAGCTCTGGCAGGGAGCAGGTGTCTGCTGCAGAGGCTAAGATGCCTCTTGGGACATCGCGTCCCATACCAGAGCTGGGGGGAGTCCTGCCTCCACTCCGACACAGCTCCCTGCTGGTGCAGACCCCGGGGGCAGCAGGGATGGCCAAGCACCTGGGCCCCTGGGAGACCCGGATGGCGTCCTCAGCTGCTGGTCTCGGCCTGGCCAGCCCGGCTGCTGCTGGCGTCTGGGACGAAATCCCGCCCCACTCGCTTTCTCCCTCCGCCTCTTTAAACACTCGCACTGCAAGGGCCCTTGAGCTGACAACCTGCAAATCTGATCACCTTCGTGGCAAACCTTGACGAGCCTGGGTTTCCTGCACAGGACAGCAAAGCCCCGGTCACCACGGAGAGTGTTCGTGACTCACACTTCTGGCACATTTGCCAACTCCTTCTTCACGGTCACGGTGTTTCTGATGGGGGTCGGTGCCACGCCAGAGCCTGCGCAGCCCCAGCCAGGCCTGCCCGGAGGCACCCGGCTCAGCTGTCAGTCTCACCCCAGGAGAGGCCTTGTTCGAGCCTGGCTCTGGGTCTGCACACCCTCGGCCCCTCCGGCAGCGCCCGTCTTGACCTAAGCGCAGCAGGCTGTAGTGGCCACGTTCTGAAAACAGCCCCGCAATGCCGGGAAATGTACCTGCTCTCCCCTCCCCGCACCCGCCCTTCCCACCCACGCCTGCTGGTCAAGGGACGTTGGCTGTCCTGGACACCTGGTTCTGTGTCTCCCGGCCCAGGCCCCTCACAGCAGCCTCTGTCCAGGGGCAGGAGGCCTGCAGGGTGTGCGGCTGGAGAAGCGCCCCTCAAACACCTGGAGCCCAGGGCGGCGGCCAGGCACAGGGCTTGGCAGTCAGGATGCTGGGTGGCCGGCCGTCGGGGTGCGGTCATGTGGCCACACCCCAAACACACAGCACAGAGGCCGCATGGCGCAGAGGCCCAGTTCCTGTGTCCCCGACCAGAGGGGGCTGGGGGCTGACAAGCGGCTGGCTGTGGCCCACACGGGGGCACGTCGTGGGTGGACCATGCCTAGCTCAGGTCCAGCTGACCCAGCCACTCCCCAAAAGGCCACAGCGGCCGAGCTGCGCTTTTCTGAAGCCAGGAGTGTCTTCCAGGTCTCTCACATGGGTGCAGGGGCCCAAGGACTTGGGCCATCTTCTACTGTTTTCCCAGGCCACAGCAGAGAGCTGGATCGGAAGAGGAGCAGCCAGGCCTCGAACCGGCATCCATATGGGATGCTGGTGCCGCAGGCACAGGTTTAGCCCACGCCACAGCGGCGGCCCAACAACTGATCTTCAGGGCTGACTCCAGACCTTGGCTTGGGGAAAAGGACACGGGTGGAGCCCAGGGCGAGCAGTTCCAGGGGACAGCTCCGTTGGCTCTGCCTTGGGCCAGGGACGTGCCCAGTAGGTGCTGAAAACATGGGCGCGTGGCCCAGCCGATAAGACACTGGCATCCCACATCCTCTGGGCAGAGCACTGTTTCCAGGCACCACGGTGCCTCCACCGCCCATCCACGTCCCTGCTGGTGGAATCTTGAGGGGCAGCCGGTGGTGGTGCCCGTGCCCCTCCGTGGGAGCCCCGGGTGGAGTTCCCGGCCCCTGGCTCGGCCGGCCCCCAGCCCTGGAGGTTGCAGGCGTTTGGGGAGTTAAGCAGTGGGTGGAGGTTCTCTCTCTCTCTCTCTCTCTCTCTCTCTCTCTCTCTCTCCATTTCAAATAAAATGAAAATAAATATTTTTAAAAGGACTCAGCGGAGGGAGGGCGGGAGGGGGTTGAAGCTCTGGCCTTCTGCACAGGCGGGGGTGGGACTTGCAGGCGGGCACAGGCTCTGCCCCACCCCCGCCCCCTGTGTCAGTCTCCCGGGACATCAGGGGATTCAGTGGGCAGCGGCTGAGAGAGCACAGATGAAGCCATCAGCCCCTCCGCACCCAGGGAGCCTCTGCACAGTTGCTGACCAAGGGTACTGCTGGGAGGGACACAGACGCACGAGAGCCATGCCGCCGGCCCTGGGGCGGGCGCTGCACACACCACAGGGGAAGAGCAGGAGCGACCACCCCCTCCCCGCCGCCCACGGGGCAGGACCCGGCCTCGGTCCCTCCCGACCCGGTGGGTGGATCTGCCGTATCAGAGGTGCCCGGAGGCCTCGTTGGAACCAGGGCCTGGGGCTGAGCACCTGCGTCCTGGCGAGGCTCCCGGTGCTGGGCTGCGGTCAGCACGGACTCAGGCTTGGAGAAGAGGCAAGCGAGTGGGTGGGCTTCTCTCACGGCCCAGCCTGGGGTGCCTGTGTCCTCTAAAACACGGCGCACTTCCTGCACGCTCCCGGGGTTGTCATTAGAGTGGTCCATTAGCAGCAGACAAGGGA